GTCCAGCAGAAGGGCGGTATACAAATTTAAAAAACATAAACATAAACCTGAGCGGCAGAGGCTTCTTGGAGGGAGAGCCAGGCTAAAGTCAGAGCTTCAACAGGGGGGCCTCAACTTATAATCGCAACTGAGGCCAACATTTGTTGTTAAGCGAGACGGTTGTTAAGTGAATTTTGCCCCATTTTAAGACCTATCTCTGCCACAGTTGTGAAGTGAATCACTGCAGTTGTTAAATTAACCCCACAGCCGTTAAGTGAATCTGGCTTCCCTTGACCTCGCTTGTCAGCTCACAAAAGTGGATCACGTGACCCAGGACTCTGCGACAGTCATACACACGGGTCAATTGCCAAGCGCCTGAGTTTTGATCATGTGACCCTGGGGATGCTGCAATTCATCAGTCACTTTTCCAGTGCCACTGTAACCTTGAATGAACAGTTTTAAGTCAAGGACTACCTGTTACAATGCTTTAATGCTCTTCCCTTCTGACCCCCACCCCCAAACCTTCTCTCCGATTGGAGGCTCCGTCTGGCAGAGAGGCCAGAGTCTCTCAGGGGCCGCGGTGACCCTTCCCTTTTGGTGCCTGAGTTGCCCACTTGAAGGCGACCTCTTTTGTCCTCCTCATTTTGCAATTCACAGAGCAATTCTCTTCTCCGCCCCCTCCTCAAAACCCCTCCCCGTCTGCCTTGTGCTAGGAGAGACACCAAGCAGGAAGTCGCATCCGCTTCGTTTCCATCCCTCAAATGTGGGCTTGTGACTAAACCTCCCAGGCTCCAGGAAGGGGCTGGAGCTGAAGAGCCGTGGGAGATGCCGGGAGAGCCGTTTTCATGCAACACGTGACTGGCACCCAGCCCCCTGCCTCGGCTGCCTCTCCGCCCCAGTTACTGTGAGGACGCAGTGATCCTGCCTCGGCCCACCCAATTTGACTGCCTGGGCCCCACAGCGACCAGTGGGGAGACCAGCAGCCCTGCACCGGAGGGCAAGAATAGTCCACTTTCTCACATGCAACCAAGGTCACAGGCCCCAGCTCTCCACTGAGAACCCGCCCAGCGCCCCTTTCCATCTTGCCAACATTAGTTTCGCTCGCCCTCCCTCCCTCCATTTAGCTATGCGTTGGGTGCAGGAGGGGCACCTCAGTAGCCCTGCATTTGGCACAAGGGCTGATCTTCCTTCCCTCTGCATGCCCTGTTCCTTGGGTGATTTGGTGACCCGCCCCTCCTGGTCTCCACCAGAGCCTCCCCCCACCCCCACTGTAAAGGAGCTGCCTACAATGATCTTGGGGTCCCTTTGGTGCCCCTGAAGCATCCTTCTGAAGTGTAGGGACCAGTCCCCATCCAAGTGTGTATCACCACCAATTTGCACAAGGCTGTAAGGATATTGCGGTCTCTGATTTCTTTTGCTAACATCTTGAGCCAGGCAGTTTTTTGGAGCAGCTGCACACCGGGGTGGCATTTTCATGGTGCCGTCTACTACGATTTCTTTCCTGACCAGCTCCTGCCCACTCAGATGCCATTCCAATATAAGTTGGGATGATAGAAGGGAATGTTTGTACTCAGGGTTGAGCTGCGGGGTCCTTGGGATTCTCTGAGCTTGGTTATTTTCTTCAGATGTTTCACCCCAACTAGGGAACAGTTTTGGTCACTACACTATAAAAAAGATGTTGAGACTCTAGAAAGAGTGCAGAGAAGAGCAACCAAGATGATTAGAGGACTAGAGGCTAAAACATACGATGAACGGTTGCAGGAACTGGGAATGGCTAGTCTAGTGAAGGACCAGGGGAGACATGATGGCAGTCTTCCAGTATTTGAGGGGCTGCCACAGAGAGGAGGAAGGGGGTCAAGGTATTCTCCAAAGCACCCGAAGGCCAGACAAGGAACAATGGATGGAAACTGAACAAGGAGAGATTCAACCTGGAAATAAGGAGAAATTTTCTGACAGTGAGAGCAATCAATCAATGGAACAGAAGTTGTGGGAGCTTCATCACTGGAAGCTTTCAAGAAGAGACTGGACTGCCATCGGTCAGAAATGGTGTAGGGTCTCCTGCTTTGGGGGGGTTAGACTAGATGACCTGCAAAGCCCTTTCCAACTCTGTTAATCTGTTAGATCATCTGCACCCTTCTTTGATAATGAAACATCTTCATGAAAACAAAAAAGCTCAGAGAGCACCAAGGACCTCACACGAATTGTGATTTTTGTTCCTTCCTCCCACAAGAGGCATCTTTCATATTACCCTGGATCCAGACCCTGCATGTCTCTCCTACAACCAAAATTAGTTTGAACCCAAGTTTGTAGCCGGTTTGTTAACAGCTGCAGCAGAGCACCTGAACCTAAGCCCAGCCCTGTTTCTTTCAGCTTCTGTCTTTAAGCCTTCTCATCTACAGGAGGGGCCAGACGGGAGTCAGTGGAGGCTTTGGTGGCAAAATTCCTGGCAATTCTGGCTTGTTATTCTGTGATAACACAACAAAGTCGCATCTCCTCTAAAGCAGGGGAGAGTCCCCTCCCGCCCCCCCCCGTTCTTCACTCTTTTCTCACTGTGTGCCAGGAATGATTCACTGATTTGCGTGGGCAGATGAAAATAAGGACATCTGTCATTTTACAGAAGTATCAGAAGAGCCCCTGAGGAAAAGGGGAACCATTCCCAGTCCCCGCAGGCACACTCGGGGGACTCCAATTCAAGCCTTCCTTCCAGATTCAGCCATTACCTTCCATCTTTTAGAGTGTTCACAATGAAGCGGTTAATCTGGCAAATGGCATTTGCGGTCAAGCTCTGGTCATCCACCAGAGGATTCAGCTGTGTGGCCAGCATAAAAGCTGCAAACAGAAGAGAGGCAGATGTGAGGACATCAACAGCTCAGAAGGTTGTAACTGCTCACCCGACACGGAGAAGTTTAAAAGCTTGGCTGCATTTCACTTATCATCAGATTAATAGACGGAGTCGAAACGCAAATCAGCATTTCATTTTGCAAGCTGTATTTGATCAAACATTTACAATACAATTCATAGCATTACTGCAGGGTCTCAAATCATCAGAATGGTCACTTGACCACCAGTTTCTTAATCAAGTGGCATTGTGCTGAAGCCTCTCTATGCGTTGAACACCTTCTCTTCCCTAGCTGAGCCTCCCCTCCTCCTCACCGCCCATGTCCAGAGCCCGCAGAAGCAGCCCCAGAACAAGAAGGGGGTCCCGAGGAGTGCTGGGCTGCTCTGAGAGGCCTCGGGGTGCCAACTGTGGCTGCCCTGTTGAACAGGCCCTGGCCTCTGGCTGAGGCAAGTGGCTCCTCTTCCTGGAGCTCTTCCCGTGGTTCAGCAGATCCCTGGCCCCAGGAGCCCTCGGCAGTTACATATTACATTTATAGGCCTCCTGCAGTGGCAGTTCCCACTAGGGCCTCAGGCAACCATCAGCCCTTCTATCCAAGGTGCTTTGAGAAAACGATTAATGATTTTAATCAGTCTGAACTTTATGAAAAGTTTTGTGGTTTGAACCACAGCTTCCTTGAGTCCTCAGCAGAGTAGGAAGGTGGAGTAGGAATCCAAAAAGCCTGAGATCTTCCTGGGTGATACAGCCCCCGAGACTGCTATTCCCCCACCCCCGCGCGTGCACACACACGCACACACAGAATTTTGCTGCAGCCACGTACTGATCCTTCACAACCTCCAATTCTCACTCTGAAGCCCCTCAAGGCATCTTGGTGCTTACAGGAAAGGGTGTTGACGCCGTCGCTCATCAGCATCCGGTAGCGAGGGGGCCCGTTTCCAGTGGAGATGGGGCGGATGGTCTGGGGGGGAAAACACACCTGGCTCAGCCAGGGAGGCTCCTTCCCAGCCAAGAGGGCAAAGAAGAGCCCGGCTGCCTCTTCCCAAGCTCAGGGATGCCTTCTGGGGCAGGGAAGGCGCCTCCTCGTCCCTCTGGCTGCCCAGCTCAGGCCAAAACTCAGCCCTATGGACGAAAACTGGACCCAGCACTCCGAATACATAGACAGTCCTTGGCTTGTGGCCACAAAATTTCCGTTGCTAAGAGAGACAGTTGTTAAGTGAGTTTTCCCTCATTTTACGACCTTTCCTGCCAGGAATGTTAAGCGAATCTGGCTTCCCCATGGTCGCAAAAGGGAATCAATCACGTGACGCCCCGGACACTGAAACCGTCGTAACTACAGGCCAGTTGCCAAATTCTGATCACGTGACCGTGGGGGATGCTGTAAGGGTCGTTAAGTGTGAAAACTTATTTCATGTTGTTGCCGCTCCGAGCGGTCCCTAAAGGAGCGGCCGTAACTCGAGGACCGCCTGTGGGGGCGGGGTGGGGTGGGGGAGCCGCTGGCCCCCCCTCGGGGGGGGGGGGGGGGGGAGGGGCGGCTACTCACGATCAGCTGCAGCACCGGCCTCTCCACGGGCTCCGCCTGCAGCAGCATGGCCTGTGGGGGGGGGGAGGAGGGAGAGAGAGGGGGCGGGGGGGGGGGGGGCCCCCGGGCCCCCCCCCCCCCTCCCCGCTTCCCCCGGGACGGGCCCGGCTGGCTCACCGCGATGGAGCCCCCGCTCAGCCTGGGCAGCGACGCCATCCCGCCTCCTGCCCCTCCCGCCTTCCTCCTCTTCCCGCGCGCGCTCAGCAGGCCCCGCCCCTTCTCCCTCCCCCCGCCACCGCCGCCACGTGCCCCCCGCCGGCGCCCCCGATTGGCCGAAAGGGGCGCGTAGCGGCCCGCCCCTTTCCCCTGGCGCGGGGCCTGCCGGGAGGATGGAGCTGCTGCCGGGCCAGGAGTGGCGGGCGCGGGCGGGGCGCCTGTGGGGGTCTCTGGGGGCGCCGCGGAGGGAGGAGCTGGTCCGCGCGCGGTCGCCCCGGGAGACGCTCCGCCTGGCCGCCGCCGCCCTGCCCCTCCGGTGAGCCCCGCCCCCTCCCCGCCCCCTCCCTTCCCCCTCCCCCCCTTTCCCTCTCCCTGACTCTCTTCCCCTCCCCCCCCAGGACCCCCGAGGAGGAGGAGGAGGAGGAGGAGGAGGAGGAGGAGGAGGGGGGCTGCCTGCGCCGCCTGGCCCGCCGCCTCTCGGTGCGGAAGGAGCCCCGGCTGGCCGAGCCCTGCAGGCAGGAGGGCAACCGGCGATTCCGGGCCGGGGAGCACCGGGCGGCCGCCGCGCTCTACTCCCGGGTAAGCGGAGAGTCCGGGGATGGGGGGGCGGGGCGGAGGGAGAGCCCGGCTCGCTTAACCACCACGGGGTTCGCTTAACGACCGTGGCGAAGAAACGGGGGATGGCTCCCTGAACGACCGCCTTGCCTAGCGAATGGAAATGCTGCTCCCCCTTGTGCTGGAGGTCCTCGACTTACAACAGTTCACTTAGTGACCATTAACGTTTACCCTCTGCACTGAGAAAAGAGGACCGTTTTTCAGCACCGTCACTGCATCCCCACGGTCGTGTGATCAGAGTTCAGACGCTTGGCAACTGACTCCTATTTATGACCGTCGCAAAGTTCCAGGATCATTTGATCCCCTTTTTTGGCCTTATAAACCAAAGTCAATGGGGAAACCAGATTCACTTAACTGTATTAATTTAACTGCAGTCATTCGCTGAAGCACTGAGGCAAGAAAAATCATAAAATGGGACACATGTTATCTCACTTAGCAACAGAAATGTTGGGCTCAATTGTGATCGTAAGTCGAGGACTACCGATACCAGACTCCCCCAGCAGCTTCATGCAGTTTTGGGTTCTGTGAAATAAAATCACCTATAAGTAACTTTGATTGTTGGGCCATAAAGAGCATTGTTGTTGTTGTTGTTATCATCATCATCTGAGTGCCAGTGTTTAGAGAGCCTCGGTCCCAAGGTGAGGGGCAAACCCCGTGCAGCGGGCATCACCTGCAACTCATGGAGTGGAGACCTCTACCATCTAGGCATGAATCTTACTCTAGACCAGGGGTGTCAAACTCATGTCGTCGTCACATAATATATCCCCTTCCCCTTCACTAAAACGGGTGGCCGTGGCAGCATGTGACTCATCCGCCCGGCTCTAGACCCCTCCCCAATTGCATTTGACAGCCCTGCTCTAGACCCCTCCCCAATTGCATGTAGGGCCACAGCCTTGATAAACCCAAATGAAGAGATCCTGACCTCTGCCATTCCTGTAGAGGGTGTGTGTGTGTGTGTCCTTGTGGGTCAGGCCCTAAAAATCAAGAAAGACACACATTGGTAACTTCTGAGCGGTTTCCTTTATTGTTCCTCACCTGTAGACAGAATCTTGCCAAACTGAAGCAACTACATTGGTACTTTGGTATTTGTCATTACATGGTCTCGGGACAATGAGTAGTGTGACTCACAAGGCAACCGACACCAACAAGTTTTAGCTTGTGCGTTGAGTAGTGGGACAAAATGTTCACGTCAGAATGCGTTATCAAATCTGATGATTTTCAAAGTAGTTGGGTACCAAGATACCACTGTACTTGCATCACTGTGAATACACTCTGAAAATTGCTAGTGGGGAGCTGTCTTTAACTCTCTTTCTCCCATCAGACTAAGTTTTGCTTTCTTTGCCTTCTGGAATTCATGCATTTATTTGTTTAATGTTCCTCAACCGGGCCAAGTTGAACATGTGTGGACTCCCAGAATTCCCCAGCCAGCATTCTGGGAGTTGAAGTCCACCCATCTTCAACTTGCCAAGGGCAGAAACACGGCTTCAATGTAGTTGCCCATCTTGCCATGGGGCAGCTCTGGGTAGCTTACAACAGTAAAATGGGAAAAACGATAAAAAATGTGAAGCTAACATTAGCAAAGCAATGAGACAATAAAAAGAAACAATACAAGTACAATAACATGAATTAAGAGATGGTCAGAGAGGGAGCGGGTAGCGCAGGAGGAAGGAATGCAGCCCCTCCCTCTGGGAATCCAGACTGCATCCCACCACAGTGTGACCAATCTGAGCTGTGACACGCTGGTGCCGCCTTTGCCACGTCCCCTCTGCCTTTGGTTCTTGCAGGCCTTGTCCCATACGGAGGCTGGCAGCCCAGAAATGGCCATCTGTTACGCCAATCGCTCTGCGGCCCTTTTCCATCTTGGTCAGTTTGAGGTGAGTTTAATGAGTTGCTTTTGCTCAGAGTTCAAAGTGCTTCCCTCCTAGAAGCAGAGGTAAAGGCATATTCTTTCTGCTTTAAAGGTGCTTTATCTGCCAGGAGAAAGGAGCATTTCCAAGTAATGGCAGCTGCCCCCTCAGGCTGGCTCTTCGCAGTCAGTCAGTACCGGGTGCCATGAACCGGGGGGGGGGGGGGCAGATGGGAGGGGGGAGGCTCAGAGGGAAAGGAAAGTTCACTCTAACTCTCCAAGAAGAGCTCCAAGGTCAACCAGCCCAGAACTGGTCTTGCTTGAATTTGGTTGGACATGGTGGGGTCAGTGAGGGGAGGCAACTAAGCGAGTGGAAAATTAGGCTTGGGGGATTTGAGCACCCAATCTTCTCTTCTGGCTATGCACTACTGCAGAGTTCCACCAATCTTCCTGGCTTTGTGGACTGGCGGGGGGGGATGATTTTGCGCAAGTGGGGGGCAAGTGCCACTGCTCGCACCAGTGGGGATACGCACTCCTGTCCGCTGCTTTGGGCTGCCCGGTTCTGAACAGCTCATGGCCTGGTAGTGGGTTGCGTCCCAGGGACCCCTCCACTATACGTGGGGGCGCAGGTGAAGGCAACATGCAGGAAGGAGGGAAGGGAAGGAAATTACAGGCCCACAGCTGGGACCAGAATTTTCGTTGCTAAGCAAGGCAGTTGTTAAGTAAATTGCACTCATTTTTTGGAACCTTTTTTTTTTTGCCACGGTTGATAAGTGAATCACACATCATTAAATAAATCCAGCTTCCCCCGCTGACTTTGCTTGCCAGAAGTCATATGACCAAGGGGGGGGGTGCCAATGTGAGTCGCTAAACAAGTGATTTTAAGCCGAGGGCTTACCTGTAAGTGGGGCTAAGCCCAGCAGAAGCTACCCAGTCCTTGCCTTGCCCACCAGCTGTCACTTTCTCCTCCCTCCTATCCAGCCTCCAGGCTCTTTCTTCCCTCCGGCAAGGGGGGGGAGGGCTAGAGGAGGAAGCCATTTTTAGCCATGCATTCCCCCCATGGCCGAGCAAGGGAGCGTCTGAGGTGACTCCACCAGGCCCCTCTCTGGAAAACAGTACACCTGACTTCCTCTCTGCAGGTCTGCCTGGAGGACATTGGACGGGCGCAGCAGGCGGGGAGCTGCCCGGAAAAGCTGCTGCCCAAGATCCAGCTGCGCAGGGCCGAGTGTCTGCTGTCTTTGGGCCGGCTGCAGGAAGCGGCAGGTGCCCTCCGCAGTGTGCAGGAGAGCCTCTCCGCGGACCATAGGCCAGAGGCTGCCCGTCATCGGATGCTGCTGGGCCGGCTGGATCAGCTGAAGGGCAGAGCCGGTGAGAGCGGGACCTCCCTTTGCCCGCCTGCTGTGCCTGGCCAGGCTCCACAGGACCCGGAGCCCTGGGAGGAGAGCGGCCGCATCTCTGGCGCCTCAGTGGCCGTGAGACTGGGCTTTTCCAGCTGCAAAGGGCGCCATTTAGTTGCCGCTGAGGATCTTCCTCCTGGGAAGCTGTTAGTGAGGGAAGCGGCCTTCGCCAGTGTCCTCTGTCCCGGGCAGAGCCTCTTGCTGGGAGGGACCACCCAGGCCCTGCAGGACAGCCAGCTGGACAACCCGGACCTCCACTGCCACCATTGCCTGCGCCCGCTACTGGCCTCCGTGCCCTGCCGAGGGTGCAGCTACAGCAGGTACTGTAGCCCTGCCTGTGCCCAGCTGGCATGGAGTAGTTATCACTGGGCAGAATGTGCCCTCGGGGGGCTGCTGCTGGCACTGGGCGTCTTCTGCCACGTGGCCTTCCGGACCGTGCTGGTGGCCGGCTTTGCCCAAGTGAAGGCCTTGGTCGCCCAGTCGCAGGAGGGGGACACCCCGGCCGTGGCAGCGGCTGCAGAGAAGGACGCCTTGCCCATTCCTGGCTGTGAGGCCGACGGACGGTACAGCGGCTCCTACCAGGCCATCTTCAGCCTTCTGCCACACACGGAGCGGCACAGCCCCAGCCTCAGGTTCCTCTGTGGGCTGAGCGTAGCAGCTTTGTGCCAGGCGCTGGAGGATGCCGGCCTGGAAGCCTGGATTGCAGGGGGGGCCATGAGGGAAGAGCCGGGGGCCGTGGAGAAGGAGGAGGGCCCCACTGCGCTGGAAGTCTTGGGGGAGGCCATGCTGCGTCACGTCCTGCAGCTGCAGTGCAACGGCCAGGCTGTGACCACCGTGCGCCCATCAGGTCAGTGGAGGAGGCGTTGTGGTCCCTCGTAGGGGAAGCAGGGGCTGCAGGGGTTAACGGGGCACCTCGGCCTCCAGTTTTACTCTTCTCTTCCCAGGGCCAGAAGACGGGCTGGTGGCCGGCAGTGGGCAGGTGCGCTTGGCCACGGGCTTCTTCCCAGCTCTCAGCCTGCTGAACCACTCCTGCGACCCCAACACCAGTGTGGCCTTCACTGGCTGCACAGTGGAAGTCAGGGCCCTGCGCCCCATTCCTCGTGGGCAGGAGCTGCTCCACTGCTACGGTGAGTGAATGGGTGCTGGCCCTCCAGGCATCCCCCGAGGGAGAAACCGAGGCCCCGTGAGTCAGGACCACGTTGGTGGGGAAGCTGGGGCGACTCTGAAAGGGCTTCTCTTCCCCCTTTATCTTGGGACCGAGGGAGGGGCTGGTCTGAGGCTTTCATTAAACTCTCGGCTCAATGCCCTCTGACCGTCATGCAGTCATTTTTATTGAATCTGGACGGCTCTCCTCTTGCCTGCGTGTGGCTTTGGGCGGTTTACGTAATTGAAACACAAGCTGAACAACTGTTGAAGCCAACAAAAAACAGTTTAGAATAGAAGCCCATAATAACGCTCTCTACATGGGGCTCCCCTTGGGGTACACCCGGAGGCTCCAACTGGTGCAGAATGCGGCTGCGCGGGGGATTATGGGAGCGACTGGGCGCTCCCATGTGACTCCTCTCCTGCGCAAGCTGCATTGGCTTCCGGTGGACTTCCGGGTGCGCTTCAAGGTGTTGGTGATCACCTTTAAAGTGCTCCATGGCTTAGGGCCAGGGTACTTACGGGACCGCCTTCTGCCACCAATAGCCTCCCACCGGCCGGTTCGCTCCCACAGAGAGGGTCTCCTCAGGGTGCCATCGGCCAGACAATGCCGGCTGACGACCCCCAGGAGGAGAGCCTTCTCTGTGGCGGCACCTGCCCTATGGAACAATCTACCCCCAGAGATATGAGTGATCTCCGACCTCCGGATTTTTCGTCGGGCCCTAAAAACTTATTTTTTTCAGCTAGCCGGTCTGTCCTGATTTTAGGGTTAGTTTTAAAATTTTAATATTTATTTTAATTGACAAGTTTTAAATTATGGGCCAAATTTATAAATTATTTTAACTTTATTTTTTAACTGTGATGTTTGTATAGATGTTTTTTATCTGGCTGTTCACCGCCCTGAGTCCGAAAGGAGAAGGGCGGTATAGAAATTCGAATAAATGAAATGAAATGAAATGAAATAATAATAAAAAGATGGGGAGTGTGCTGCCTATACAGTTAGACACAATGCAGCCATTTAAGAGGCTGCCCACTTCCAGGGGACCCTCGGTCCCGATGGCAAAAGCAGTCTTGGGGGGCCCAAAGGGCCAGCAGTTTAGGAGCAGCCAAATGGGGCTCCTTCTCCGATGGGACTCCCAGCGTGCCTCTCCTGCCAGGAATGACAGCAGAAGTAGGATAATCGGGCAGAGGCAGAGAGACGCTCGGATAACTGGATCCCGCGTCAGGTGGGGCTTTCAAGGTCAAAACCAGCGCCAGGACAGGGACCCAGCAGGAAACATAGCAGAGGAATAACGTGGGCAGTTCTTGGGGCACAGAGAGCTGCCTGCACTGTTGCCTTCTGCACCAGCTGAAGACTGTCTTCTAGGGCAGCCCCGGAGCCCCTGTTCGCCTTCCCTTTTCTTCCCCACCTCTCCCATCACCCGTTGTGGGGAATCGAGAGTTTTTGCAACTGCACCTGGAAACCTTGGGGGGAGGGTTTGTTTGTTCCTCGAAGGTTATTGGAAGCCCCCTGGAAAATCACACTGCAGCAACTTAAAATCTAATTTATTTATTTTATTTATTTTATTTTATTTCTATACCACCCTTCTCCTGCGGGACTCAGGGCGGTATACATCATCTTGGGGCATCAAAAGTATTAGCTGGGCTGTGATTTTATGATTCTGGTTTCCATTAATTTTGGTTTGAGAGCAAATTTGAGAACTCAATAAAACCATCAGCGAGAGATAAATGTTTAAATGGGTATCAGTATCTCACTTCTGCTCGCGCCCCGCCCCCCGCCAAAAAAAGGGGGGCAGGGCGGATTTCCTAGCTCACACAAAGCAGCCCTTGGACGGGGAGCTGTGTATCGCACCGGCATTAGGAGCGGCCGTTCTCCAGATGTGCGTTGGCTGCCCTCTGCTCTGCCTCCCTGGCTGAAATTGGGCCCCAGTTGGTGATAAATGCCGCCTCTTGTCCCGGTGGTTATAATGCTGCAGCTGCCAACGCCTCCTCTAGAGTGATTTTCCTACCTGGCAAATTGAAACGATTTTTTTTCCTGGGGGTGGTGTGGGGGGCAGGTACTGATTATTGTTAAGGGTAAATTGTTGGTGAGGAGCAAACTGTGGCCCTAAATTGGAATATTGGAATTCCTGGCAGGATTCCCTGTTTTTATTTATTTATTAACATGCCTATTAGAAACATTTACACAGCTGCCCAATTCACCCATTCATGGTGACTCTGGGCAGCTTACAGAAACACCAATAAAGACCCCAATGACCCCTCATCTACGCCCTCTGGCGACAACAACCAGGGCAGATGCTTGGTGGGCTCCTTATCCCCCAGGAGCCCCCAGGCCCATCGCCAGAACACCCCCCCCTCTTCAGGGCCTTTTGAAAAAGTGTCACGGTGGGCGCCAGTTTTACCTCTGCAGGGAGGGAGGGAGCTGCCACGGAGAAGGCCCTTTTTATCAGAAAACAGCTGAGTCGACCCCCCCCCTTACCCCCTCTTTCTTGTAGGGCCCCACAGGTGCCGAATGGGGGTTACCGAGAGGCGCAGGCGGCTCATGGAGCAGTACTTCTTTGAGTGCCACTGCCAGGCCTGCTTGGAGGAGCTGCAGCCCAGTGACGCCCCCGAGGCCAGCCTCTTCCACTGTCTGGCCTGCCAGAGGCCCATGCAGGTGAGTCTGCCCAGGTGCTGCTGCAGGTGAGAACGCCAAGCTCCCACCCACCACCTGCGAGCCCAGATATGTGGGGTGCCAAGCACAGAGGGCCCGGCCGTCAGAAGCGTTTGGCCAGCGAGCCAGCCTGTCCCTGACCTGTTCCTGGTCTTTCTAGGGGAGAGGCATCCTCCGCTGCTCAGGTGAGACCTGCGACCACCTGGTCCCCGAGGAGGACTTCCACTACCGGCTGCTTCGTCTTCAGCACTTGACCCAGTCAGCCGAGGAGCTCCTGGAGCACGGCAAGCCAGGTGTGCCCCCCCCCCCCGCCCCCCCCCCCGGTCTGTGTCCTGGTGCCCTTTTAAAGGCCGAAAAGACTCCTGAGCAGAGGCTCCAGGGTGCCCAGGAGAATGTGGCATCATTGCCACATGTGTCTATAAGTTGTTCGAGGCAGCAAACATAACTAATCTTCCTTCCTTCTCTAATCTCCCACTCCACAACAATCCTGTGAGGTTGGTTGGGCTAAGAGAGGGTCATCCCGCTGGCTTTCCTGCCTAAGCTGAACTGAGGGTCCTTGATGTTCTCTGGGCTGAGTGGATTTCTTGCAGACGTTTCAAACTGGGTAACATCTTCAGGGCACTGATGTTGTTATCTAATTGGGTCATGAAATGTCTCCAAATGAATGTCTACCGTACGAAACTCAGAGAGCACCAAGGATCCCACAGTTCCACCCTGAGCCAGAAATTTTCTCTTCTAAGATGGGCAGGAACTCCTGATTTCCAACTTTCTAGCCTGCTGCCCTCACCACCAGCCTGTCATAAGTAAATTTTATTTACTTCGTTTTATTAAATATTTATGTGAATTATTTGTGTAAGCAAGTAATAGGGCTGCAGTGGATGCTTTTTTTAAAAAGCCCAAAGCTTTGATAAGGGGAGCCCAACCTTGCCTTCTGAAAGTCCCGTCAGCCGGATTCCAGGCTGCATTAGGCAAAATTGAGGGCTGGGCCTGGGAGCTGCTGCCAAGAAGCTGTGGGTATGTCAGAGCAAGCCTCTTCCTGCCAGTCTTTATGGCACAAGAAATCCAGGAGAAAAATTCTTTTCTGCCATCTAATGGCTGCTTGGATTTGCAGTCCAGACCTGCAACGTTTGCCCCAGCCCACCTTTATTTATTTATTTATATTTAAATTTAAATTTATATACCGCCCTTCTCCCGAAGGACTCAGGGCGGTGAACAGCCAAAGGTAAAAAACATAGAATACAAAAATTTAAAAGCAATTTAAAATATATTAAACAATTTGGCCCAACAATTAAAATACCCCATTTAAAATTAAAATTAAAATTAAACAATTGGAGAAGTTAGGCCAGCCTTGGGCCGGGACCGGCCCTTGCAAAGGGAAGGACTGTGAGGAGGGGGAAGAAACAGCTACGGGGGGGGGGTGTTGCCTGTCTCACACTAGCTGGATGCGTCCCTTGCAGCCGGGTCCCTCCCTCCGGCTTTAAAACGGCCAAAGTGAAGTTCAAACAAGTCTCTAAGCGAACTGCAGCATCAATCGACAGCATCGGCTGCCTCAAGAGCATAAACAGAGTGCCCGACTCCCAGTGTAACAGATCAACCACCTTAAACCATCTTGCATCTCCAAATATAGAAAAAATTACACTTAGAAAATTTATAAAACTGCCCATCTTTATGTACATCCCGGGTGGCAGTAGGCAACCAATATTTAAAAAAAACAAAATCTTGAATCCATTAGAGAAAGAGAAACCTGAGCCTGGGAAGCCTCCCAAGAACGCCGCCTGCAGTCTCTCAAGCAAAGGGACTCCTCCCCCCCCACCACCACCAAGAAGGCCAGGGGTGATCTATGCCGTGGGTGGGTGGGGGCTCTCTGGGCATGTGCTGGCTTCCTCTTGGGGGGGGGTAATGAGGGGGTTCAGAATACCTGGGACGGTGCAGAGACTCAGCATCCAGAGGGGCCGAGAGCACACCTGGAGTGCGTGTGCACATGTGTAAGCAGTGTACGTAGCAGCCCAGCTGAGCCACAGCTGGGTAGCTCCAGGCCTCTTGATGGTGGGCAGGTGTGCCCGTGCCAGCGTGCCCAGACAGGTGCTTCCAACGGGACCACCTGGGTTGCACCTGCTGCCCCAGGTACCAGTTTAGCCTCCTGATGTCCGGCTTCCTTTGCCAGAGTTTCTGCACAGAGCAGCAGCCGCTCACCTCACTGGGCAGGGAGAACATTTTTCCTTCAGAGAGCCCCCCCCCACTTACTTCTCTCTGACTGTGGGGGGGTCGCCTTGGGCTGCAGAGCAGCTCCTTGCCCTCAGCCACCGGGCCCCTCGCAACGTCCTGCATCCTGCAGAGTGCCAGCGGCCTCTCCAGCTCTCGCCCAACCAGGAAGCCTGGCCTGGAGCCCCACCCCCTCCCCAGCTCTCCATCCATGGTGTCTCCCAGGGAGGAGGGGGGTGTCTCTTTTTAGAGCTGTTAAAGAAAGGTGGGTAGCAGTAGGGCCTCGCAACCCCTTCGCTCGGGGGGTGGGAAGGGCAGAGTTATTGGGGGAAGGGGCGCTGTGGAAAGCAAGAGCATGGAACAGCACACCCGTCGTCCATCCGTCCCGTCCCCCCCGCTGCATGGGCTTGGACTGGAAGAAAAAGGAAGCGGTTGGGGGCTATGGGGCTGTTTCGGACAGCTCATGTGGGGCTTTCCCACCAGGCCCAGCAGAGGTGCGGGGGGCAGAGGCAGCCTCCCCCCTTGAGGAAGTCCTGCCCTGCCCTGGGAATGGCCATTGCAGGGTCGTGCCAAGTGGGGCAAGGCATTCTCCGTGCCCCCTCCTCTCCCAAGAGGTGTAAGAGGTGAGCAGCCTTCAGCCACAGACCTTCTGCTCTGCCTGCAAGGCTGGCCTTCCAGGGTTGCTCCAGCCCCAGTTTGAATTCTGCCCAGGACGAGTTTTGTTCCCTGCACGCCCATCTCCGTGCCAGGGCTGTTTGCAGCACCAGAAGAGCTTCAGTGTTCCATGCCAGCCCCATGGGAAGGCCGACTGGCAGTGAGAGGTGGGCAAAAGAGGGGAGAAGGAATGAATGGAGAGGGACGCATCTTTCTCCCCCCTCTTTTGACTCAAGACATTTGGCAAACTTCAGACATTTTGCCCTCGGCCCATCCGGCTGCCCTGTGGAGGCTGGGCAACCCTTCCTGCTGCCTAGCCCAGATCGGGACGTCCCTGGCTGGCAGTCTCTCGGGATGTCCGCTGGTCAAGACGGCCCCTCAGGCTCTGCTTCCCTTCTGAATGCCCAGGTCAGGCCCTGGAGCTGCTGCAGAAATGCCGGCTGGATGCTGAGAGCTTCCTGTCTCCAGCGCACCTGAGGATGGGCGAGATTGAGGACCGCCTGGCCCAGGTGCACGCGGCAACAGGTACGAGACTGGCCCTTTGGCTCCCTCCGCTCCTCCCCGAGGAGTCCTTGACTTGCCACTGCCACTGGGGTGAAAATTTTGGTGGCTAAGCAAGGCGACTGCTCAAATGGGCTGCCAGATTTTACGACCGCTTTTGCCGTGGATGTTAAACAGGTCCCTTAACATTTGCAGTTGTTAAGTGAATCATGGGGTCATTAAGCGAATCCCGCTTGCCCCATTAACTTGCTTGTGGGAAGCCAATTTAGGAAGGCGGCAAATGTCAGCCACAGGATCCCAGGAGATACTGCAAGAATCGTAAATACACGCCTGTTGCCTGGTGCCCAAACTTTCATCATATGACTTAAGGATGCTGTGACGGTTGTAAATGTGAGGATTGATTAGAAGTCCCTTTTTTCAGTGCCATTGTAGCTTCAAATGGTTGCGCTAAACTAAGGGTGGTGGGTCCAGGACCCCCTGGCGTTTGGACTCGCTTTTATTTGCTGTGTAATTAACACTTTGAGTAATCAAGTAAGAACATTCCTCCATCCGCCTGCTTGGCTCAGAGCCTTCCTTGTCTTTGGCCCAGGGAGGTGGCAGGAAGCGGCCGGGCACCTGCACAGGAGCATCCACGCCGTGGAGGCCCATTTTGGCCCCGCCAGCATTGAAGCCGGCCAGGAACTCTTCAAACTGGCCCAGGTCCTCTTCAACGGGTGAGCACACTGCCCCCTCCCCAGCCTTTGGGGAGGGGCTCCTCCTGGCTGGCCTCTGGCAGGAGGGTGGGGGCGGATTTATATTTGGGTATTTGGGAAGAGAAGTCACCTCAGTTGGGCCCTGGCCTGTTTTCTGCCCCCCCCCCCCTTTCCCTCTCTCACTTGCTCCTGCCTTCTGGGGCTGAGCTGGCATCCCTGCACCCGCCCTCAGTCCCTTCTTGAAATCCTGTCCTCTTCCCTGGGACTGGCTGTTGAGACTGTGGCAGGAGAGAGTTAATTTACTGATCTGTTTACATTGCAAAGTGTGCAAAGGTGAATTTGGCCATCTCAGGATTGTGTCCTCGCTGTGATGCTCCCTCCCAGCCTAGCCCACCCCCACCTCCTTTCTGAGTTCCCCTCCAAATGTGAAATCAGCCCCCACTGGCTAGGTGCAGCCCTGGTCGAGGCCTGGTGGTGCCTACCCTGGGGGTCCATCGGGTGCAGGAGGGGCTCCAGGCCTTTGGCTCGCCTGTTAACCTTTTCCCTCTCTGCCTGTGGGGGGGGGGCTGCTAGGCGCTTGGTCTCCGAAGCTCTGCAGGCCGTCCAGAGGGCCGAGGCGGTTTTGAGGGTGCACCTGGGCACAGAGAGCGATCAGCTGCAGGAGCTGCGAGAGATGAGGACCTGCCTGGAGGGGCTGCTCCGAACTGCCCCCGCAGCAGCAGGCGAGTTGCTGTGAGAGGATACCTCAGTGGGCCTACTGCGAGGAAGGGGCTTGAGAACCCCCTCCTGCCGTCCTTTAAGGGCCAAAGCAAGAAATCGCTGGACGGTGTGCAGAGAGTGGTCACCTTGGGCTCCGTCTTGCTGATGGACCTAGCGGGGGCCAAGAGCGTCTGCCGGATCCAACGGCCTTACCACCCACGCAGCCTTGCCAGGATGCCAGGCCTGGATCTGTGCCAGACTTAAGGGCATCATTGCCCGGAAGGAAAAGAGGCTGCTGCGTTTGTTGACTCGGCTGAGGGGGTCTTGACAGGTGATGGGAAGAGCCTTTCCCCTCTTCCCTCCCTGCCTTGCCTCCCTCTCCCCCCATTGCTGTTTCTCCGCCATCGGCCGGAGATTGAAAAAGCCACTTGGGAGGCTCTTTAAGGCAGAAGCTCTTTTATTGGACCATGGAAGCAAAACCAGCTGTGGGACACAGTCAAGGACCCCCCCCCCCTCTGCTCCTGTGCCTCGGGGGCCATGTGGAGCGCTCTAGGCCTGCTGAGGCTCAAGGATCTTTCCGATGAAGAGGAGGGTGCCAGTGTCGTTGTCGTAGAGCACAAACAGGAAGGGCCTGTCCAGGGTGTAGACGATGGGGAAGTTCAGCCGAGCGGCCTCCGTCTCTGAGGCGAACACGGCGCTGGCCCCATCTTCCCCGAGCTCCAAGGCCACCTTGTGATGCGCATGAGAGAGCCGGAGGGCCTTGGCGGAGATCTTGCCCAGGTTTGGCGTGGAGAAGAGAGCCTGGAGCCCTGCAGGCCAGAAAGTGACGTTACTGCCCGGCTGCTGCCGCCGCCGCCTCCTCCCCTGAGGCCTGGAGGCCGAGTGACATTCCCGACCGTAGTCAGGAGGGAGCCTCGCTTCAGCCCCCTGTTCCCCCCCAAGGGACGAACGGCTCTCCACCGTTGCTATGGCTCCTATGGCGAAGAGCAGCCGTTTGGGGACCCAGCCTTGTCCCGTGGAAGGGCTGGCCTGTGGCCAGACCCTCAGAGGAACCCTCCGGTCAAAGGACCCCCGCGGGGCACGTACGCATTTCCTGAAGCACCTCCCCCAGCCTTGTCTCGGCCACCAGCCTCAGCCGCGGCACGCTCAGCGCAGCCTGGACAGTCTTGAGCTGCTTGTCGATGTCGTGGACGAACTCGGCTGTCAGGCTCTCCTCAATGAGGGTGAAGTTCTGGGTGGGGGTCTCGGGCAGGAAGAACATGATGCTGAGCCCTCCGGCCAGGGGCAGCTGGGCGATCTGCAACATCCGGGGAAGGCGGAGTGGGCGGGGGAGGAGCCGGCTTGGCGCCCCCAGGAGGGGAAGGGGAGGGTGTCAGCCGCTCACGGTTGGGGGGCAGGAATTGGTGCCCCTTGCACGGGCAGACTTCCCGGTGAGGGAGGGGCTCTGCTGCAGGGGGGGTACCCAACCTCCAAATGTCATTGGGGCAGGCAGCTGCCCCAAATACAGCTGTTTGCTGGGCTAAGGAAGAGAACGGCTTCCCCCTTGTCCCAAGGTTGCTGTGGGGAGGGGCAAAGAGGCCAGTTAAGCCCCCAGGCAGCCATGTTTCCCCAGTCGTGCACCCCCCCTTCTTGGTCGCTGACCTTGCAGTTGAGCTCAGAGTCAAAGCCGTATTTCAGGATGGCTCTGGGGGCCGACATCATGGGCACCCGGGTGCTCCGGTCTTCGTCCAAGTGGAAGTCCTGAGGCTTGGTCAGCTTGGGGTCAAACCTGGTGGCCCACTGCCCTGTGGCCGGAGGGGAAGGAAAGGCCAAATGGAAGAAGCTCTCCCTTCAGATGACCCCTTCCCCTCCGGCCTTCCCCAGGCGAGCAGACGTACCTTTGAAAGAGGCAGCCCCCAGCAGGAGGATGCTGAGCCCGGCAGGGATCTCCCCCAGGAATCTGACGACTTTCCCCCCCGTCCGCTGCTGCACCCACTGGTTGATCTCCTGCAGATCCGCCCGGGTGTTTCCGCTGAGCACCCGGGGCCGGAAGCCGTAGGATTTCTCCAGCTCGTTCACAAAAGCCATTCTCATTCTCAGCTCTGAGCGGGGAGAGAGTGCCCAATTGAGCCCTCGGGGGCTCCGGGGGGCTCCGCTCTTCTGCCAGGGGCTGAGACGCGGCTAAGGGTGCTCAGAGCCCCCCCCCCAAGGCCAAGGAGGCTTACTTTTCTCCATCACCAGGCGGGAGACGCTCTTCAGGCCCTTGCTGGGGGCACCGATGCTGCCCAGGAGCTCCTTGTAAGTGCTATGCAGGTTGGCCTTGTCCAACATGTCGTAGAAAAGGGCCCGTGAGATCACGTCCTCCGTCCGCTCGCCCGCACCTGCCAGCCACAGAGAGAGAGGGGGGGCAGCCTGTTAAGGTCCCCTCTGGGGACGATCCTGGCCCCGGGCGGCACCGGAGGGGAGCTCACCCAACGAGAGGGCCGAGAGAGCCGTGGCAACGCTGAAGGGGGAGAGCAGGACATTAGCCGAGGGGGTCTGGCCGGACTGCTGGCGGAAGAGGGCGTAGCCAAAGTTCGAGACGGCGGCAGCCAGTTTGTTGACGGGGCTCTTGTAGAAGGGGTCTTCCTCCTCCTCCTGCTGCCCAGCTTCCCTGGCGGGGTCCAGCTCCTTTGAGACACACAGGGCGCTCACTTAGGGTGGACCCATCACAGCAGCCTAGGTGGTCTTTCTGCTGGGGAGTAAGGGCACCCTGCGTGGACTGCGAGGTAGCCCACCCCCGGGTGGAATGGCAAGGGGGAATCCCTCAAGGCCATCCAGCCTGTCCCCCAGCCTCTGCTCCCCAGCCACTCCCAGCCTGAACCGAAAGCTGGTCTCTGCAGTTTGGGAGACCCCCAACTGACCTGGGGGCTGCTTGCAGGGCTCACATCTTGGCTTTGGCCAGAGACGGCCAGGGCGGCCAGCCCCAGGAGGACCATCAGGTGTTTCATGGTGGGACCTGCGGGGGAGGGGAAGGAGGAGGGACAGACAGACAGAGTTACCGCAAGTAAGATGGGCGGCCAGGAAATTTTCTAAAGAAATAAATAGGCAAACGCACTGGCTGAGGTCTGCCCCTGTCTGGGGAGAGTCTCCACCCTCCCTCCGGCCCACGCTTGTCCCAAAGGGGCTTTTCCAAAAGGCGACTGGACTTTCTTGGGTTTTATTCCCCTTGAAAACGTTTCGCTTCCCGTCCAAGAAGCATCTTCAGTTCTCCCTCGGTTTCTGGGATGAGAAGCAAAATGGTTTCAAAGAGAAAAACCCAAGAAAGTCAGTTGCCTTTTGGAAAAAGCACCTTTGGGTCAAGTTCTGCCCCTTTCTCCAGCTTTCCCTGACCCTACAGCCGGCGGGGGGGGGGTGCGCACCTCCTGGCACTTCCATGCTTCCTCTTTTTAAAAGCAAGCCTGGCATTTAGGATTCTCCAGCCTCCCTGGCCGGATGAGTCATGCCCACAGGCTTCTTAGCGGTTCTTGCAAGCAGCCCCCTCTTGAGCTTCTCCAGGGGGGACCGAGCCCAAAGCGCTTTCTCCGGGGGTGGGGGTGGGGAGGAACCCCAAGCTTTCCACTTTCTCATGGGAAGCCAACCAAAAACGGGTGTGGTGGAAATATCATGCCTATGGTAATTTTCAACCGAATGTTTTTTTGTCAACTTTGGAAAGTGCCCCTCTCGCTCTCCGTGCCAGGGGGTCTGAGAGAGGCTTTGGGTCCTTTGGAAGTCCCAGAGAGGCCAGAGAGAAGCTTCGCCTTTGAAAGCTGGATTTCATGTGGGCCTCCAGGACTCGTGCTCTGATTTATCTGTTTGATTTTAGTGCCGTTAAGTTTTAAATAGCTATTTAAACTTAGTGGAACGATATTCAGTTTTGTTTCAGTGATTGAGCAGCTCAACTCAAACGTTTTATTGTGATGTTTAATCTTATTTGTGCTTTACGTTTGTTAATTGCCTTTATGCTATTTCTGTCAGCTGCCTCAAGCCTGCTTCTCTCCCTGTAAGCAGCAAGTAACAAAATAAATCAACGGGAGGATTTTAGAATTCAGTTCTTAGTCTTGCCAGCTTTTCTCGATGCGGGAGATGAATTGTCACTTCAGCCCTGAATACAGCGGATGCCCCTTTAGCTTCATTCCAAAGGTTCCTCTTCAAATCCTCTGCCTTGGCAGGAGTGGCTCTTCTGACTTCCCACTTGTGCACTTTCTCCATACTGAAACCTATGGACACGACCCACCGCTCCACTCAAAGCCACCGTGGGGGGAAAAAAGTGTTTGCAAAGTGCTTTTCTTACAGGAACGTTTGCATTTGTTAGTGTGGGCCGGGGAGGGGGGGGGGCTACATTCTACGTTTCCTAGACTGGGTTTCTGAGTAGGAATTGTCTCGGAAGGCATGAGCAGCCCCGCCTTGAGACCTGGCCGGCTTTCTTGCCCAGTAGCTGTAGGCAAGTGGGCATAATTTATCTCTGGCTTCCGGGCTGCTTCCTGGGCCAGGCAGTGTTGCGGGAGACACAAAGAGGCTTTTCTGGACCAGAGAGCAGGTTGGCCAATTTCTGGCTATCATCTGCCTGCCGTTTGCAAGGGATGAACTAGCACCAGGCCTCCCGGTGTCCAAAGGGTAAACCGTAGCCTCGGCCAAAGCCAAAGCCCTCCAGGCTGGCGCCACCAGGGCTACGTGGAAATAGCAGAAGCCTGCAATTACGGGAGCCCATCCTAGGGCAGCCGATCTGCACAAGCTTCCAATTAACTCTGGTGCTGCGTCTCCTGACAACAGGAGAAGGATCTGCCTCGAAATCCTGGGGAGAGAGACGAGGCCCAAAATAGGCCCTTGTGGCAGATCGGGTTGCTCCGTGAAGGCTTCTCCCAGGGCAGGGAAGGCAGGCCTGGAATCCTGGTTTGATCCTCGTTGCCATCACCAGGCCAGAGTTTCCAGATTTTTCCTCTGGAGTCCCACTGGGTTTGAATGAGTCTCAACATCTGGGTTCAATTAGCCCAGATCTGGACATCGGCAGACAGCCCAAGGAAAGCAAGCGAGCCTCGGCTGTTCCTCCAGCCTGCCTCTCCAGAAGAAAGCCTCGGCTGTGGAGGGAAAGTTTTGGGGTCCCAAAAAATATTCAAAGGGCTGCCACAAAGAAGGGGGGGTCACCCTATTCTCCAAAGCACCTGAGGGCAGAACAAGAAGAAATGGATGGAAACTGATCGAGGAGAGATGCAACCAACTAAGGAGAAACCTCCTAACGGTGAGGACAGTTAACCAGTGAAACAGAAGTTGCCTCCAGCAGTTGTGGGTACTTCTAACACTGGAGGTTTTCGAGAAGAGATTGGACGGCCATCTGTCTGAAATGGTATCGAGCAGGGGGTTGACTAGAAGACCTCCAAGGTCCCTTCTAACTCTTATTCTGTTAAACGAGACCTGGGGATCCTGAAGTGATCAGCCAGGGCGAAAGCTGCCAAGGAGGGCAGAGAGGTTGGAAAGCCCACAGTCTCTTTCCCAAGGTGGGCTGCTTGGCTGCAGAGCGGAGGCACCCACCCTTTGGCCAGTATGCCAGCTGAGCACCAGAGGGTTTGCCCAGGTACATGGCAGGGATGGGTTGGCTGCCCACCAGCCTGGCTTTGAGGGCCTGAGACTTTGAGGGCTTCCTGCCCCCCCCCCTCCCAGCTTTCCTTAGTGCCAGTTCTCTCACCTACACGCACACACATGCCCATGCATGGACTCCGGCCTGAGGGAGGCAGAATCGCTCCTTACCTTCACCAGCTGCTTGTTCTCCAGCCAGCCCGCAGGGCGGTGTGCGCAGGGCAGGGGGAGCCTGGTGCTTATAACGGGCACAGGGACGGCAAGAGGCTTCAGGTTACAGCTTTGTGGGGTCCCTCTTAAAGCAGCCGCCGCCTCTTTCCAAGCCGGCCCTCCGTCAGCCAAGCGAGAGGGTTGGTCAGAATCCAGGGGGTGTAAAGGAGCCAGATCACACATCCCTCTTGCACTGTCCAAATAGTTTCAGTTGGAAAATGGCCAGTTTAAAGAAGTTGGAACTAGGCCTTGGGCCATTTCAGTCAGGGTTGGGTTTGCAAAAACGGTAAACCTGGTTACTGAAGAAATCAGCTTCTGAGCTGACAGAAGACTGAAGGAAAAAGCCAAGCATTACCTGTTGGACCGCTGCCTAGAGCCCTCCAGTTCCAGGGCTCAGGAAGCGAAGGTGATGGAGTTTCTTGCTTCGGGACTGGGCTCCAAAGAGAGCATGGGAGACCTAACTGAGTATGCCAAGTTCAAGTCAGGATACGGGATGCCATCAAAAATCGCAGACAGGGCAGTCCAGGGTGGGTGTGGGTGCAAGATGGGCCACCCCAGGAGGTGTGGGGTGAAGGCCGATCGCTTAAGGGGCCCCGAGAGAGGAGTTTCTTTCTGGGCTCTCCTGCTGTGAGATGACATTAGCTGGCCTAAGAGCTTCCTGGGGTCTCCTGGCTGCCTCTGGAGAGCTGGAGCCCTGGCACATTTGCCCCAATCCCCCAGAGGGAGCCTGCTGGTCCTCTAGAGGGGGTTCAGGTTGGGGGGCAGTAGATGCATCTATTTGCCCATGGAAAACAGCTTCCAGGACTGCACCTTGGAGAACAGCAACCCTGCAGGAAAACCAGCCATGGCGAGGGACAAGCAGAATTGCAGGTAGTCCTCGACTTATAACATTCAGTTTCCCACACCTATGACCGTTGCAGCATCCTCATGATCACATGGACAAAACTCAGATGTTTGGCAACTGGCCTGTACTTACGACCGCTTCATTGTCCTGGGGGGAGGGGATGTCACATGATCATCTTTTTGACAAGCAAAATCAAAAGTCCTGGAGTTCCGCCTGCCTCGTCTGCTGGGGTTTTATGAAAAGGACCCAGCCAGGTTAGCTGGAGAGCCCAGGATGGTCTCCAAGGCCCAGTGGAAGGCGCCACGAAGCATCTTTGGGGCCTGGAAGACCTCAACTATTCAGACCTTCCTCTGGAGACGAAGCAACGCAGACAAGCTAAAAGTTGGAAGGCCATTCTGGGCCCCTCTTCTTCGGGGATCTTTGCAGAAACGGGAGCCTCCTCTCCAAGCAGAGAAGGGGCATTTGGTGGGTGAGAGGGGAATACCTCCAATGGAGACTGCAGGCCCTCCGTAAAGCCCCCCCCCCGCCCCCGGTTCCAACATCTCGGGCAAAGCCAGCTGGGTCCACAGCCTCCCTTGACCCTCCTGTAAAGGCCACAGCCTTGTCCAGGCCTTCAGGCTGCTGTTTTCCCCGACAAAGGTGGCTGTTGGAATGTGGCTGCCTTCCTCCCCACCGTGGAAAAGGAAGAGTTGTGAACTGGGCCACAGGACTATCACTCCCAGCACCTTGTTTGAGAGCAGAGCTGGCTGGGGAATTCTGGGAGTTGAAGTCCACAAGATTTATTAAACACAAAAGGAGAATTAAAATGAATTCAAGATTTTAAAAAACAAGGAATAAATTTGGAATGGTGACCATATTTACAAATCAAAACTAGATTTAAAAAAGATAGGGAACAATTTGGCATAAACAGGAAATAATTGGAATTAGATAAATTATTATTAGGATCGGGAAGAAAAATTATTACAAATATCTATAATTACCTATTAGGATACAAATTGGAAGAAGAAACAGTAAAGGAAATGATAAGTTGGGCTAGGAATTTCGGACATACCATAGAATGGGATAAATGGGAAAAATTGGGTGAAAAATTATAAATTGACCATGGCAGTATCATACAGCTATAAAATGTTTTATAGGAGGCATTTAGCACCAGCAAAACTGACAAAAAAGTACCCCAATTTATCACCCCAATGTTGGAGAAGCGGTCACAAACTAGGGACATACTACCACATGTCGTGGATGTGCCATAAGAGGAGTAAATTTTGGTATAAAATTAAAGGGTGGTTGGAAGAGATTACACTCCAAAAGATAGATTTTAAACCAGAGATGTTCCTCCTAGGAATTATTGATAGAAAAATGAAAAAAAATCTCTATTATATTATATTGCATATTCTAACAACGGCCAAAATTACTTTAGCGCAAATGTGCAAGTCGACCAATACACCATTGGAAGAAACAATAATAAAGAAAATCCTCAAATGCGCCAATATGGATAAATTAACGATGGGGATCAAAGAAAGAGAAGACTCGGATTATTATAAAGTGTGGAATAGGTTTTATACATGGTTGGAAAACAGAAATCAAATTAAGAAATAAGAATATAAAGTGAAATTTGATATTAGCATACTGAATATAAATGTAAATAATGATCCTGCTAACAAAACAGTTAATTATGAATATTTAAAAATAAAGAGAAGGAGCATGAGGATAAAAGCTAAGAGTAAAGACAAAAATCAATGCAGAAAGTTGTAAAATTGTATATATCTGTTGTTAGTATTGTATTTTAATGTCTGATGTGTGTGTGCTTTTGTTGTTTTTTGTCTCTTCTTTTGCTATTGTGTGTTTGGTTTTAAAATGTAAAATACTCAATAAAAATTATTTTTTTTAAAAAATGAAGTCCACAAGGCACAAAGCTGCCAAGGCTGGACACCCCTGGTCTGGATGTTGGATCCCATCCAGAGAAGATTAAGAGCCTGACTGCAGGTTCATTGCCTCAGAAATAGAGGTGCCTCTGCAGGTGGAATTTCCTATTCGTGATGGAAGATTTTTTTCCTCCGAGTTTCCCTAAAGCTCCTGAGCTGCTGGTCCCCACCGGGCATTCTGAGAGGAAGGAAGGAAGGAACTAAGTTGATTTGGCAGCTGGGCTGGAAAACCTCCAGTCCCTTCTGGCTCTTGTGCTCCGTGGAGACTGGACCCTCTGGCCATCACCCCCTTCTGCTGACTGCGAGCAATCCTCTGTTTACAACCGTTTAGTGACCATTCAAAGTTACAATGGCACTGAGAACAGTGACCAATAACCGTTTTCCACGTGGTCACGGGATCAGACACTTGGCAACTGACTCATATTTATGACGGTTGCGGTGTGCCGGGGTCACGTGATCCCTTTTTGCAACCTTCTGGCAAGCAAAATCAATGGGAAACCCAGATTCACTTAAGAACCGTGTGACTAACTTAAGAACTTCAGGGATTCACTTAACAATGGTGCCCAGAAAGGTCGTAAAATGGGGCAAAACTCACTTAACGACTGTCTTGCTTAGTAATGGAAATGTTGGGCTCAGTTGTTGTAAGTCAAGGACTCCCCTTGTTTGAGAGGTCTGCCTGGCTCTGATGCCAGAGAAGGAAGGATACGAAGGCATTCCGATATTTGCAGTTTTATTTTGCATTATTTCCTTTACAATTCTCAATGCTGAATCTTCCTCTCTTCGTCTCAGCTTTAGCTATGTGATCGTGCATCTTATCCGCGCTTATAATTTTAGAAGCATGAAGAGAAAGGACAATTTTGAATTGGGTTATGATCTCGGAGGCTCTTAAGATAGCCCGGTTAATAGTCTGTATTACAACGTCACAGGGCTGTCGCGTCATTGCCATCCTATCCTTTTTAAGACAGGGCATCTGAAACAACAGGCGGCAGTTGGGGGGGTTGGTTTCGAAGGGGGACAGCCCTGTGTACAACGTGGACTGAGTAGGGGCTTCTTGGGCAGGGAGGGGTTCGCTCTGACTAAATGCAGGTGAGGCATCCAGCCTGATGCCAAGGAAACCATAGAGGGGGGAGGGAAATCAAAGGGGGAGGGGGCTGCCAGGCCAGATGGGGAGCCCAGGTGTCTGGCAAGCTGAGGTACCGGATCACACTCCAGGACCCAGTAGTGGCCAAGGGAGGTCCACCACCTCAGTTTCAAGATTGGGATGGGATCCACCCCCTTCTTGAGACACCAACTGGGAGGGTGAGCCCGCTTTGGGTGGGCAGCCATTGGGAGGGGTCTTCTGGAAGGCCGGACTGTCTGGAACTCGGGGGGGGCAGCTCTGTGGCCCTTCAGGGCTTCCAGAGGTGAAGCTTGTGATCAACAGGCAGGACTTTCTTCTCATTGAGATGGTCCTGGCCAGTCTTCTCCCGGGCAGCTCCGGGGCTGGGATTCCGGACGGTGCCCAGGAAGAGGGGGATGCCCGTGATGTCCTCTGTGATCATGAAGATGAAGGGCTGGTCAAGGGAGAAAGCCGAGATGGAGCGGAAGGCGATCACGCTGGTGGCCGCTGCCGCCTGCACTCCGGCCTCGGCCAGCTCCAGGGCGGCTCGGTGCTGGATGCTGGAGACCACCAGGGGTCCCTCGGTGATGTGGCGGAGGTCTGGGGCAGAAAAGAGCTCTCCGAGACCTGGAGGGGAGAGAGGAAACCAGAACTGAAGTGGCAGCAGACACTTTCCCAACACTGAATGGGGGTTTTGCCCCTCAGGCTCTGCTGCTGGGCTGGGCAGCCTGTCAGGAGTGGTTCCCCTGCCTCTTGCAGCTTCTCCAGGCTGGAGAGACCCAAATGGGGCTTCACCTGCAGAGCCTGTCTGCTCATTTTCTTTTGGGTAGAGTGCTTGGAGTGAGGAGGAGGAGGAAGTTCTGGGTGGACAGGCAAAATAACGCATTGTAAGCCGCCCTGAGTCTCCGGAGAAGGGTGGCATATAAATTAAAAAGCAAAAAGCAAAAAAAAAGCAAAAAAAAAAAAAAAAAGAAACTGTCCTCAACAGCAACAACACGAAGAAGCTTGGGCGGGGGTGGGGGTGTTGCATGCCTCCCACCCCGTGTCTGAGAGTCTCTCACCTAACCGAGTTAAGGCCCCACTGAGGTCCACGTGGTCCTCTAAGTGCAGCTTCGGCATCTTCACCATGGTGGACCTCTCCTTGGGGAACATCTCCAGGTCGAGCTGGAGGACCTCAGACAGAACCTGAGAGAAGTTCTTCCGCAGGTGGAGGCTGGGGACGATGGCCACGAAGGAGGTGTTGCCCTTAAAGGGAAACTTGGCAACCTGGAGGAAAGAGTGGAGGGGGGTCCGAGAAGGGCAAGACCCTCGAGCGTGAGGCTGGCACAATCATGGGAGCCTGTGGGGTGGCCTCTTCCCTTCTCGCAAGAACCACACGGTGCCTCCCCTCAACCTCTGAGGCCTCCGGCCAGGGCAAGAAAACAGCACCCGGTGTAATGGCTGCCATTCTGTTAAGCGACAGATCGCAAACTGGCAGCCTGACATCAGTAATGGGGGGAGGGAGCAGTGGGGGACAGGGAGGGGAAGCGAAACCAAGCAGACCATCCCTGGGAAGTACCAGCCGTCTCAAGGTCACACCAAACATTTTTTAACACCTAATTGGACGGTGACTGATAACTGAGTCTTCGGAGAAAGGTGGCATACAAATTGAACAAATAAAACAACAACAACAACAACAACAACAACAAAAAACCAGGGGATTGGCTGGGAACAAGGGAAAGTTAACTATCTTTTGCATGTGAAAATTTCAGATTCAGCTTTGCTTCTTCTGTAACCACTTTGGCTTTATAGTAAAGTATACTTTTGGCTAATCGTGGGCCAGGAGTTTTTCTTTCCTAACTGACCAAGTTGGGGCAGTGGATATTTGGGGGGTGTCCCTCCTCGCCCACCCATCCTCTACCTCGGCCTCCAAGGACTCTGTTCTGAACCAGCTGAGGGGGAAGTCCCGCTCCTTCATCATCTCCACAGAGACCGCAGATTCCTCGTCCAGGTGGAACAGACTGGGTTCCGTCAGGAGTGGGTTGAACTTGGTCTTCCAGAACCCTGGTCCACAACAGAGAGGACATCAGGGGGCAAAAGGCCGTCAATCTTTCCTTCCACCAAGCTGGTCTTTTCACCCTCAGAACTGAAGGACTTTGGCTTCCAATCCTGCTTGGAAGAAGTCACCCAAGGTGGCTTCCCAAACCCCCAGCCGGGCAGGAGACTCACCTCGGAAGTAGACTGCGTTGAGAAGGACCATCACAACGTTGGGAGGCAGCTCGGTGAGCATGGTGGAGATCTGCCCATTGGTGGCTTCTTCCACCCATCTGTTGATGGCCTCCAGGTCAGCCTGGCTGTTCCCAGAAAGCAGGGCCGGCTTTGCTCCATAGAATCTCTGGGATGCCTCCAGGAACTTCTCTTTGATCGGGAAGCCTGGGAAGGGGGAGGCACGGGAACCAGGCCCAGAAAGGGGAGGGTGTCTCAACACCCCCACCCCCAACTCCTGGAGAGGAGGCTACGATGCCCGGTCCCCTGGCCCCGAATGGGCTGAGGGCCCTGCCTGACTCTAAGAGGGGGGGTTTGTTGTGCTGGAGTAGCATTTATTTGTGTATAAATAAACTTTGCTTATATAGCCACATGTCAAATAATGTTGCTTCTTCAGCAGAAAGATTTTAAAAAGAGAAATACGGTGGCTTCTCCCGAGAACTGCATTCCTGGGATCCTGGCCACGTCATGCACTGAAGGAGAGCAAGCCGCCATTTTGAATTTGAGGGGTTTAAAGCATGTAAAAGCCTTCAAAATCTAGAAGGAATCCCGGGGTCAGAGAAAAGGGCCGATCCCCTGAGGAGGGAAAGCCATTCCTTTGTGTTCTGAGACTTGTGTGGTCCTCCCCCCCTCCCCCCCCAATTTAAATTTAGTAACTGCGTATAGCAATAGAAACGGCCAGGCAGATGAAGTGCTATTTCTTGCAAAAAGCCTGAAGTGCCCCAATGCCAGCCGAGGCAGCCTGGCACCAAAAGAGGCACCTGGAATTTCATCTGCTGGCATCCTGGGCAGATGGGCAAAAGGAGGTGTGTATGCCCCGGGCCCTCTCGCTGCCCTCTAGGGCCATCTTGTCAAGGCCATCAACCCCCCCCCCTTCCCCAACCTGCTCTCCTTCTGGAGCAAACATTGCAAGGGAAAAGATTGTAAAACTTCCTCTCCTCAGAAGCCCCTCCCTCTCCTCTGGGGAAAAGCCTCTAAAGGGAGAGGGGCATCCTGGCTGCCCTCCGCCACCCCGTCTCTCTCTCTCTCAAACACAGAAACACAGGCAGAAATGGCTGCCCACCTCTTGCCCACGAGGGGGGGGGGGCTCACCTTTCTCCAGGAAGAGGCGGCCAGCTATGCTGAGGGCTGTCCGGTGGAGGTGCTGGGTGACCCCCCGCAGCGCCTGGTGGAGGCAAGGCACGGACTCCATGTGCAGGACCTCCAGGAGGTGCCTCTGGGTCTGGTTGGCAGCCCCTGAAACGAGCCAGGCTCACTTTGGGCCAGGGAAGCAGTGGCTGAAGGAATCTGGGGGTGGGGGAGCAGCCCTTAGGAGCCCACCTGCCCTCCCCCGGGTGAGCTCCTTGGACCAGAGGGGGCGGTGGTCTCAGCGCAGTGGGGCTGCAGGGCATCCCCCCCTTCATTCCTGGGAGTCTTTCCATGGATCGAGGCCTTTCATTCTCCTCCTTTGGGTCCAGCAGGGCCGTCTCTGCATTGGTGGCAACTGGAGTTCAGCAGAACAAATGGGACAGCTGGGAATAGTGAGAGGAGGAGGAGGCGGCCAACTGCCCCTCTGCAGGATGCTCTTCCCTAAGGGGCGCTTCCCAGAACCCGGGGGGGGGGTCATCAGCCTCCCCCCTCCAAGAAGGGTTGTCTCCTGGGCGGTGTTACCTAGAGCCAGGTGGGCGAGGGCCAGGCTGATGCTGAGGGGCGAGAGGATGGAGTTGCCCCTGTTGTCGTCCGTTTCAATCTCCTGCAGAAGGTCCACCCCCAGGGCCCTCATGGCCGAGGCAATCTGGCTCACACTTCCGGAAAGGGCCCAGTCCTGGCAGCCTTCCTCCTCCTCTCCCTCAAGAGAATTTGGGAGGCCCCCCAGCTCTTTTGACCCACCCGGAACCATCTCCCCCTGGCCAGCAGCTTCATCTGGAAAGGGGAGAGACAACTTTGTGGGGTCCTGAACGGCTCCTTGGGCTTCTGTTCCCGCCTGTGGCAGCTGATCATCTTCGGATGGGACCTCCACAGTATGGACCTGCAAGGGGGGGGGGAGTCGGACAGAGAAAAGAATCTCCTGGCAGGAGCCCTGGGTTCAGAGCAGCTCCTGTGTCAGTTGTCACAATCTCTGCCGTTGCTCCGTGCCCTGGAGAGCCCCAACCGCCTCTTTCCAGATGGACCCTGAAGGTCTGGAAGTCGGACTCTCTGAGCTTGGTTGCTTTCTGGCAAACGTTTCATTGCCCAACTAGGTAACCTCATCAGTGCTGGAAGGGAGTGTGGTTTGCTCTGTGTTGCTATACAAGTGTCAGTGTTGGCGGTTGTGTCTTGGCAGTTGTTCAAGTTTAGTTTGATTCTTTGAGTTGGCAGCTCCTTGACTGGGGAATTGTTTACTTCTTGATTGCAGGTCTTTTGTTAATCTTTCTGGTAATCTTGGCTCATCTGGGTGGGCAGATCCCCTCACCAGTGATCAACACCCTTCAAGGGGAAGACCTGACTAAAGCAGCCCTCCGTGCAGCCGGCCTCAAAGGAGATACACAGATGGATCCGGCCCCGTAGAAGGGATCGGACCAGAATAGAGCTGGAAGGGACCTTGGAAGTCTTCTAGCCCAAGCCCCCTTACTCAAGCAGGAGACCCTAGACCAGGGGTGTCAAACTTGCGGCCCACGGACCGGATGTGTCACGTGCTGACCACGCCCACACCCGGTTTAGCGGAGGGGGAAAGAGTCACAATACATCACATGATGCCGCTGTGACGACACGAGTTTGACACCCCTGCCCTATGCCATTTCAGGCAAATGGCTGTCCAGTCTTTTCTTAAAATCCTCCAGTGATGGAGCACCCACAACTTCTGGAGTCAAGCCCTTCCACTGGCTATCATGTCCCCCCCAGTGCTTTTCTCTAGACTAGCCAGACCCAATTCTTGCAACCGTTCTTCATGTTTTAGTCTCCAGGCCTTTAATCCTTCTAGCTGCTCTTCCTTGATCCCAGCTCCATGGCTGCATGTCTTCACCCCAGCCTGCTTCCAAGATCCTCTGCCTGGACCGGCAGCCGCAGACTTTGGGACTTTGCCTGCCCAGCTGAAGGAGGACGTCCATGGCCTGGTCTTGGCCTACAAAGGGACCCCCCCTTGCCCGCCAGAGCACAAAAGCCCCTCCCCCCATTTCCTCTCCCAGCTGCCCTTTGCACTTGGGAGGAGTTTCACCTTTGCTTCCAGGGCCAACTCATTCTCCTGTGCCAGGCCTGCTTTTTCCTGCTTCTGCCCCTTCTCTGGACTAAGAGCTGCCCAGCCCCAGCTTCCTTCCCAAGTGGGTCTCCCTGCAAGACCCTCACACATGCCTGCTAGCCAGAGCTGAGCGAAGCTCCCCGACTTCCTGGCCCTCGATGCTGAGCTGTCAAGTTTTGCCCCCTCGCTGACCTCAGTGGGTCCTTGCAGGTTGGGGAAGCAGGATTTGAACCTGCTTCATCAGTTACGCGTACACAGACACACAGGCAACCCAAGTACCCTCCCTCCCCCACAGAGCAGCCTCCCTCCTTACCAGCAGTGTGTTCCTCTGGGCACCTCCATCCCAGCCCACATCGGGAACAAAAGTGGCCTGGAAGAAAAGCCCACGGTGAGCCACGGCTTCTTGCCACCCACTTTGGCTCTACTTCTGCAGGAGGCGGCATGAAAAAATGGGATACGGAGAGTGGCAAAGCCGCTTTAGGAAGAGACTCACTCTCACCGGGGGGGGGGGGGGCACACCAACACTGTAAATGGAAGAATGCTGCCCACGTACCCCTCGGTCACCGGCCTGACCACGACAGCCCTTGGGAGGGAGATCACAGGGGTTCCTTAGTGTGGCGACAGGCTCGGCTACGGTAGCCACACATGCCTTCTTTCCAGGAGGGGCCAGGCTTCGATTCCAGACCTCGGGCAGGGGTGTACTTCCTCATGGCGATTCCCCGCACGGAAGGATTATCAGAGGGGAGCAGGCTGCAACTCACCTGGTCTTGCCCAGCACACAGAGCAGGCAGGCAGGCGGCCAGCAATATCCAGAGCAGCAGAACCATCCGGAAGCGGAGGAGGGGGCTGCGGGAGGGAAAAGGCTGCACTGACCTGGTGCTCCTTGGGGTCCCAGGGTGGCAAACTGAGGAGCCTGTTCCCCCCACTTCTTTTTGCTTTGGGATCAGCCCTGGCACCAAGTGGCACTGGCTGCAACTAGCCTGGTTGGGGAACGGGCTTCTTTTTCAGCCCTTTCTCCCCCTCTGAAGTTGGGGAGGAAGTGCCACATTTCCTGGGGGGGGGGGGAAGTACCCCCCACTCAGATCCGTCACCAAAACCCAGGAAACGGAGCAACTTCCACACTGCCAAAAAAGGCCACCGGTGGTCCAGCCCAAGGATGGCAGAATCCCTGCCCTCCCACCCCCAGTTCACCCTCTTGCTGCCCCCTACTTCATCTCCTTCCTTGAGCGGCTTTTCCCCACAGCTCTGCTGCAGCCCCTCTCTAGCCCTGAAAGGGGGCGGGAGAGGCCCCAGACTAACCAGGAAGCAGCAGCAATGCCTGCGCTTCAAATTCTTCCCCCTGGCAGACAAATATTGACTTTCGGTATCCAGTTAAACATTTGTTCAGAATCTTAGGTCCAGGGAGCAATGCAACCCCCCCACCAAGTCCCTCCCCCTTTGACCGGAGAGGGGGGAGGAGACAGGCATCAGACCTGGACCCTAGAGGAAGCACCCTCTCTGGGGAGGGGAAGGTGGCCCAGCCCCCCACCTGCCCTTGCCAGTTTAGCCCCTCATGAGCCCTTCTGAACAAATGGGGAGAAATCACACTTCCGCCTAATGGCCCTCACTCTCCCACTCCTCACTCCAGGCAACCACTGCACAACACCCGCAGCCTGCCCCGCTCTTCTAGGGCAGGTGAGCCCTGCTCCTTCTCTCTTGGCCAGGGGCTCCAGGCTGCCCTGCAGGAGCTCCAGCTGGCCATGATCATTGCTGGGGCACTCAGGCGGTATCTGTCCCCCTCCCCCTTTCAGCAACAGACAAGAGCACCTTGGCTAACTCCCTCTGGTCATCAGGGGGTCTGGAGGAAGCTCTTAAAGTAAAAATAGGGCAGCTCGGAAGACCCTCCCCTTACTATGCTTTACCAAGAGCGGACGGGGAGGGGGTTCAGGGGGGGCTTTGAGAAGGCAGGATCAGGCCCACTCAGGAGTAAAACATCTCTTAAAAGCCAACCACTTCAATCCCCAAGGAAGGGAAGGTCAGGAGACCCACACAATTTCCCTGTCGGACTCTGTATCCAGCAAGTACGGGGGGGGGGGGGCTCTTCCTGCTTGGCAGGATTAAATCGCGAACAGGCAGTCCTTGATTTACAGTAAGCGGGAGCAGAATTTCTGCCGTTAAGCAAGGCAGTTGTTAAGTGAGTTGTGCCCTATTTTACAACCTTTTTTGCCAGGCTGTTAAGCAAATCCCAGCAGCTACCATAAATAAATTGTGCGGTCATGAAAGGGATCCAGGTTCACCACTGATTTTGTCGCAAACAGAGTGACCCCGTGAGCCTCGGACGCGGCAGAGCTGCTGGAAACGCCAATTGCTGAAGGGACCGAACTCTGACCAGGTGACCCTGGGGCTGCTGCTGCCGCGGTCACTCTTCTCCGATCCCTTGTAACTTCAGGACCAGAGCTGGAATCAGGGCCAGGCTGACCTCCCCATAGCAGGCCCACAGCGAGCCCCTTCTCCACAGGGTCTCTGGAGCACCCAAAGGCAGCAGGGAAAAGGCGGGTCAGCCAGGCCACCGGATCCTCAAATCAGATTCCCAGTTGGGGGTGGGGGGGGAGGCTGCTTCAGCAAAGCGTCTTCCTTTACCGCACTTTTGCCGTTTCTGGCTTCTGCCTTATCCTTGCCATTTGGAGGGGGGAGGTGGTGGTTTTGGGTGAAAAGAGGGGAGGGCAGAGAGGCAGCAGCTCTGCCATTTCTCTGTTCCCTGCTTTTTCCTCAACTGAGATGAGGGGGGGGCTTCCCCACCTCCTCAGCAAAAAGTCATTGAGTCGCAGCTTCTCAGGATGTTTATTTATTGCAAATTGTTCAATCAACACTGAGAACACCCCCCCTTTCCCCCCCCAGTTCCAGGGAACAGAGGGAAAGTGCTCGACTTCAAGGGGTGTGTGTGTGGGTGGGTGTGGGTGTGTGTCGTGGGGAGAGAACTAAATGCATTTCTAGCACACCTTCCGGGTGGAACTGATATCCCCACAGACCGAAAAGTTCAGACAGTGTCCAGCCAAGGAGTTTTTGGGGAGGAAGGTTGGGTGATGTGGCGGGGGCTCCTTGGAAAAGAAAGAGCTTTGTGGCCAAGCAAGGAGTGGGAGGGGGGGCTTCCAATTCTTGGCCAACAACGGGAAGAGTTGGAGGGGGCAATCACACCTTCCTGCCCAGAAGCCCCTTCCCCAAAGGGTGAATGAGGGGAGAGAGCAGCACAGCGTGACATTCCTGCCCCACCCCCATAGGGCCATAGGATCTGCTGCTATTCCCTGCCTCCTGCTAGCCTCCAGGTTAGGGGATAAGGGCGCGACACACACCCAGACCCACACCCACCCACCCACCCAGGCATCTGTGGGCATCTCTGCCAGTCCACAGGAAGCATCAGGCACATACGGTGATGGGGAACACTTGGTGTTTCTCGGGCTGCCCTGCAGCAGGATTATGGGGGGAGGGTCGTCCCCAACCTTCCGTTCTTGCCCCCCCAGGGCTGTTGGCCAGCCACAACTGTCCCTGTCTGCTTCAGAAGCAAGGGCTATGCCAGCAGCCGGACAGTGCCATTGTCCGAACCCAGCAGCAGGTGGCATTTGGTGGGAAGGAGGGCCAAGCTGGTGAGGGTCCCTCGGAAGTTCTCGGAGCTCAGCTTGGTGGTGCTGGGGGCTGAGGGACCCTGGAAGGCGTAGACGCTGATTTTGTTGGCCACTGTGCCGGCCACCACCTCATTGCCGTAGAGGTCAAAGGTGTGGATGGGCTCCGAGGCCAATTTGTACATCTGCAGGGGCTTCGGCTCCAGGTCTTTCCAGATGGTCAGTGAGTGGTCAGAGGAGGAGCTGATCAGCATGTTGCCCTCTGTGGCCTACCAGGGAGAGGAAAGCAGCAAGTAAGCCTTGATCCAGCGGTGGGAGGGCTCGGGAGTGGTGCGACAGCCCTCATCCACCACCCTTCTTTGCCCCTTCCCAGGATGGAAATAAGGGTGGGAGCCTGCTAGTGGGCAGTGCCCGCACCCAATTGCCCAGTGCTGAGACCAGAGGGCCGCAGCCTCCTTGGGGCCCCTGCTATTCCGCCCAAAGAACAAACCCCATCTACTCAGTCCAGGGGAGACTGCCAGCACCTTTGCCAAATGATGCCAGGGCAAAAGGGTGCAACCAGCTTCAAAAGCCCCAGCGTGAAGTGCCACCAGCACTTACAGGGCTCCCAAAGGCTCTGCTTCCACTCAAGCATCTGGCCAAGCCAGGCAGCCTCCTCGTTCCCCACACAGCCTGGATGCTGAGCAACCCCAAAATCGGGCAGGCTGCTGGGTCTCCTGGTAGCCCCTCCAGCTGTTGGGCGCAGCACAGGAGCAGGAACCAGGACAGAGCCTGGAAGATGCCTGGGGCCACTGGGGCCTTCACCCAGCCACGCATTGAACCCTGCAAGCCCAGCCTCTCACCTTGACCTGCAGGATGTCTCCCTCGTGGGCTGACCAAGCCTTCTGGATCAGGCCCGTTCGGGTGTCCAGAAGGACCATGAAGCCAGAGGAGAAGCCGGCTGCCACGCTGCGCCCGCTAGGACTGACAGCCAGGCAGCGGATGAGTCCGGCGTTGGGTCCGCTGGCCAGCCGGAATTCCTGCTACAGAGCCCAGAGAGCGGAGAGACGTCAGAGGACAATGGGTCACCGCTCCCATGAAGATCCCTTCACTGCCCAGGAAAAGCAGAGCAAAACCCTTGCCCGCCCCCCCCCCCCCGCCCCCCCCCCCCCCCCCCCCCAAGCCGTAGTTCCAGGCGCTACCTGCCAGCCTGGCTTCCGGTGGTCGATGAAGCGAAGCACCGAGTCTGCGCTGGCGATGCTGATGCTGCCATAAGGGGGCGGCATAGGGCAGAGGGCCGTGATGGGGGCCTTGGAGTCCAGCGCTTCAAAGCTACGCACCCCTTTGCCTGCAGAAGAGACCCGGCTAAGCTATGCCCTCCCTCCAAGAGGGAAGGGGCTGCACAGGCCTTAGGGGAAGGGGCCGTGCCCAGGAAGCACTGGAGGGGATTGAGGAGGCCCTCCCCAATGCCCTGACCACACCGAAGACGTGTGAAGCAGTCTCCAGGTTCCTTCCAAATGGTCTTTCTCTAAAAAAAAACATTTGGCTCTTTCTCCGCACATGAAAGTACATTCTGGCATTCTGCCAATGGACCCCCCCCCCCCGCCATCCCCCAGCCCCTCCCCTGCATCCATGTTCCTTAAAGCAACCTTATGCTTGGCTTGCATGCTTCACTACCACACGGTGACCCTCTGCCATGAACTCTGGGGAGGGGGCAGTGGTGAAATCTGAACCGGTTTACTACCGGTTCCCTGGCTGCGCATGTGCAGTGTGCACCACGCACCAACTGCGAGATGCATGCGCACAGTGCACGTCAAAAGGAGGCATGCGGTAAGTAGAACAGCGCCCGAGGGAGGGTGATCAGCTGTGGCGGGCAATCTTTTTTTTTTACTTTTAAAAGCATTGCTTTTAAAAGTTAAAAAAAAAGCCTCTGACGATTGCGCTGCTCAGCTGGGATCGTCAGAGCCTTTTAAAAGCATTTTTTCTACAACCTCTTTGGCCGAAGAGGTTGTAGAAAAAATGCTTTTAAAAGAAAAAAAAAAAAAAGCCTCTGATGATCGCGTGACTCAGCTGGGCATGGTGGGGGGAGCGCGCAGGGATTTTTGCTGCCGGTTCTCCGAACCACCTGCTGCCATCACTACCAGATCAGGCGATCCGGTCCGAACCAGGAGAATTTCACCGCCAGAAGGGGGGAGGGCAGGGGGATGCTTGAAGGTGGGAAGCCCAAGTACTCCAGGTCTGACAGCAACTTTGTCCTTGCAGTTGACAGGACCCCCCCTGCCAAACACCTTACGGGGAACTCTTTCCCTGGCCAGGGCCTTTAGAGGGGGATGGGAGTACCCCATTGGGGGCTCTTTTCCTCCAGCTCAGGTGAGGAGGGGGTTTCTCCATTCAAGGAGGAGTCAATGAATCAATGCCCCAGGAGGGGAGGCAGACCCTGCAGCATTGAGCCTCAGGGAGACCCTCTGCCAGGGACTGACCATGATGGACAGTTCCCTAGCCCAAGCCCCTTGGGGTCCATCCACGTCATTTGCTTGTGGTGAGGGAGGTGGCCAGAGACTGGGGGGGGGGACGCCTACCAGTGGGGGTGTCCCAGATGTGGATGGTGCCGTCACAGCTGACCACATGCTGCGGGGCCTCCAGCAGGCCGACATAGAAGACGGACTTCTTGTGCCGGTCGTAGATCAGCCGGGGCTCAGTCTCGTGGGTGCCGTCCCCCCGGTTGTAGAGGGACCAGAGGCGCACAGTCTTGTCCTTGCTGCCGCTCAGGAAGAAGTCCTCTCCGCTCAAGGGGGCCAGGCACTTGACGGCGCCCCCGTGGCCCCCAAAACTCTGCAGCTTGATCTGATGGAAGTGGAAGGGGGCGTCGTGTTGCCCGACCCCGATCTCGTACTGCCAGTAAGCCAGCCAGTTGCCCAGGAGGAGGCGGGCGCTGGGCCGCAGCTCCTGCTTCAGCGTCTCCCCCTCCTGGCCTCCCAGCTTGGGGCAGAGGCCGCCCCTGGCCCCGCTCAAGAGCTCCTGCTGGGCTTCAGAGGGCACCTGGATGCGGTTGCCCACCAGCACGCCCCCGAAGGTGCCCGATCGTGGGTCCTCGGGCAGGGTGGAGGAGGGCTCGGCTCCCAGCACTTCCTGCTCCGAGGGGGCCTGGCCTGGCCCAGTGGTTGCCTGCCTTTCAGATGAGGGACTGGCCTGCTCCAGGTAAAGGCTGGCCAGCTGCCTGACCAAGGCGTGGTTGGGCACGATCACGTGGAAGGCGTCACCTGCCGGGAGGGGAGAAAACAATTGAGTAAGAGGAGAGTTTTGCTCCCAGAGCAAAGGAGCCCAACATGGGGGGAAGGGGGGGAGGGATTATTGCAAAAAAACCCTGAGAAGATTCCTGCAGCCTGACTGATGGAGAAGTCCATCCTCCTTTTATTGCAGGGCGCAGGACAGAAGAGGAGCAGGAACAGGGGGAGGAGGGGGGAACAGGGGTCTCACCTAGCAGACAAGAGAAGGGCACAAAGGCAACATAGGCCATTTCTGGGCTGAAAACTTTCTGGAGTTCCAGAAGAGCTGAGGGGTCCGGAGACGGCGGCTGTCCCTGCAAAAAAGAGACCTCCTTTGTCACACCTGCAGGGAGGCTGAAAGAGAAGGAAAGGGCCGGCCACTCGCCCATCGCCTCCTTAGCCCAGGGGCCCTTGTGGGAGACTTTCCTGGCACAGAAGGGCCACAGCTCATTCCTGAAGCTGCTGCTGCTGTCCAGCCACGCCATTAAGACTGGACAGCTGCCAGGAGCCCCTTTGACCACCCCAGCAGGATCCCAGAGGCATATTGGAGGGGAAGACCTAGGGTGGGCACTGAGCATCCCTGTGCCCCCTTCAGCCGTGGCCTCCCCCATCAAGGACCCTCCGCTCCCCAGGGGCACAGACTCACGGACTCCAAGGGCAGCGAGGAGAAGCTCCCGAAGAAGTCCCGGAGGGTGTCACGCAGATGCTGCTGAGCCATCTCGGGTCCGATCCGTAAACAAACCAGCACCATCAGGCGGATGGTTTTGAGGCACAAGACGACACGGCCCTGGACCCCACTGGGGAAACTGGAGGGAAGAGACCCTCAGCACCCACCGCTCTGCCCAGCCTGCCTCCCCAATTCCCCCTCAGCCGCCACATGGGAATCACAGGCATCGTTGGGGGGGGGACTGGCTGTGCTTGTTCCAGCTGCCCCTCCGAGGGGAGCCCTTGCTGCACAGGGGTGCCGAAGGGAGAGGCTGGCGTTGCTCTGGCCTTAGCCATTCTGCCTCCCTCCTGGCCAGGCGCACCTGAGGGTGGGCGAGGTGAGGAAGCCCAGAAGTGGAAGCAGGACCTCCTGGCTGATCCTGGGCAGGATGTCCATCAGGGTGCTGTCTGACAGGTAGACGACGATCTTCTGGCCGAGCGCCACAGCTGCCAAGAGCCCAGCTTCCTTGCGGCTGTTCAGGCGGCTAGCTGCCGTCCCACTGCCAGGAGCAACCTGAAGGGAAAGGCTGCTGATGGGCAGGCAAAGGAGCCCCACCTGCAGGGCCCCCAACAACTGCTGAGCAGAAGGCACCCTCGGCCGACCCGTGGGCTGCGGCAGAGGTGCCACAACAGCATTTCCAACTATGACAAAATGGGGAGGCTAAGGGTTTGGGGAGGGGGCCACAGTCCAGCCCATGGCAGGGAGGGATAGGAGCTCAGGACCCATTTTCTCCAGGAACAGATTCTCACAGGTCAACGCCAAGGGTCAGAAAGGGGGAGATTTCATGCACTGGACAGGCTGGCATTTTCCTTAACAGACGGCAGGAAATGAGAAACTCTCTCCGGACAGGCTGACAAGTCAGGTAAGGGGGGAGGGCGGAGGGAGCAGAACGGCAAGACCATTAGATGGGCTGGGGTAGAAGAGTCAGCTGGGGGTCCCCCGTTTCCAACAGGCTCGTTTGTGACTCAGATGATGGCAGGAAAGTTACTGACTAAAAATGAAGGCAACACGAAATGGGAGAGGGGGAGTAGCTAGTATTCTATGTGGCATAAATTAAGTGCTCGCCTGAGGCTTCCACAACCTGCCCCCTCTCCGTACCACCTTCAGTCAGTGGGTTTTAAGAGGAGACCCAGACCCAGAAACAGGCAGAGGGTTTCTGGGGGAGGAGGAAACGCTTGGTTAAGACTCGCCCAGGAAGTGGCCCCTCCCACAATGGAGGGGGTGTGTCCTGCTTCTGCCTCCGGTGGAAGAGCAGAAATAAAAATGAGGAACTGCATGATGGAACCAAAAGCAGAACAGCCACTAACAGGCCTCCCTCCTTTGCAAAATGGCTCAGTCCAGGGAGCTGCAGCTGACAAGATGGTTCTTTGCCTTGGCGGAGGGCGGGGGGCGGGGGGGCTCATCCCCTGGCCTGCAGGAGCCCTTCACCAGGACGAAGGCTGCTGTGCAAGAAAACCCGGCCTGGCTAAGGGCAGCCTTTGGATGCTGATGGATGGCCAGCCCACCATCCTTCGGCTTGGAGGGCAGGAACCCTCCAAGAAATGTCCTCTGCTCGTCCAGCTGCCTGATGTCCACATCTGCCCCTCAGTCTCTCCTTGCAGCCCAGGCACCAAACTCGGGGTGGGATTTTTAACCAAAGGAAAGGGGGCTACGGATCTCCCACTGATAACACCTGCAGTCCTGCAGACGTGCCCAGTACTGCCAACATTATCTGTGTATCCGGGTGGGGGCAATGAGAGTTAAGAGGAGGGCCGGGGCAGAAGGTGGAAGACTGACCAGGTAGCTGATGTAGGGCAGGTAGAGGTAGGTGAGGACCGGCTCCCCGTAGAGGTGTGCTATGTGGGCCAGGCAGGTGAGCACCGGCTCCGAGACCATGTCGCCTGCCACGGGCTGCCTCTGCTCCAGGTTCCCAGGGCTTGGAGGGCCACTCTCTTCGGCCCCAGCTACGAACTGCTGCCTGCTTGCACCTGGGGGGAGCAGGAGTGTTGCCTGGGTGATGGGAGGGAGGCATCCCGAGCCTTGCCAGCCATACCACATTGCCACCCCCACTCCTGTCCCAGCAGAGAAGCCTACCCAGATAGCAGGAGGCCAGCAGCCGGAGGAGGTTCCTGGCGACGTACCGGCAGGCGGTGGTGGGGCCCAGCTTGGCTGACAGCCACCGCACCATCTTGCAGGCTGTGTCTGCAGAGAAGAGGGCAGATAAACTGCAGGTCCGCCACACCCAAAGCTCACAGCCACGCTGGCTCTTCTGCTCAGCTTCCGTACCCGTCCCTGGGACACGCCAGGACAAGCAGAGCCTTCAGCTGCTATGTTGGAGCTTCGGGGCACCCCCTACCCCATGGTCCCCCCCTCCTAGATTCTGACCCCCACTGGGTGGAGCGCTCCTGCTCTTCAAGCCAGCAAAGGGGAAACCCTGAGCTGCAACAACCTGCTCCGTAGATCAATGCCCAGCAAGCTCAAACACCCACCACCAGAACTCTTCACAGGGCACATCTCCGTTATGTTGAGCGGACAACTCACCTAGCAGGATACTCTGCTCTTTGTCCACATCCTGGTCTAGCAGATCTTGCTGGCTTTCCCCAGCCTCTGTCTGCCCATCTTCCTCAGCCAGAGTGGGCTCCGCAGAGTGGCCCGCAGCCCCTGAGAGGACCGGCTCTTCTGTGGCCAAAGCAGCCTCCTTGCGGCCTTCTTCCCCATCCTCCTCTTCTTCCTCCTCCTCCTCCACCTCCTCCTCCTCCTCACTGTGCTTCAGGTCCTGGCTGCTGTCCAGGCACTGGAGGCCGGAGGCTTTATCCTGTGGCTCCTCCCCCAGCAGCCCGTCGTTTGCACCACCCTTGTCGCTCAGCTGGCCCAGGCTCAGGGCCTCGGCTAGGTAGAGGCCATTCGGAAGCTCCTCGCTCTCCGGCAGGTAGGCCTGGTCATGCAAGCTGATGCCGGACATGTAGTTCATCAGCTCCAGGCCAGCGTCCCCCTTGGCCTCCTCCCCAAAGGACCGAGATGCCGGGCTGCTCCTGCCGCTCTCCTCACCGTCCTCCTCCGCTGTGCTCAGCAGCAAAGCCTTGTTCTCCTGGAAGGAGCCCTCTGCACCCCCCAGCACCTGCAGGATGTGAGGCAGCAGGTGGGTGAGGAAGGGCTGCAGCCCCAGCCGGGCCATCAGCTGGGCCACGAAGCAGTCCGTGTAGAGGTAGAAGCGGCCGTGGAGGCCCCGGGGGCTCTCATAGGCGCCGATTAGGAGCTTGAGCAGATACTTGTTGGTATTCTTGGGGCCCAGGGCTCTGGCGATGGGCTCAAAGAGGTACCAGGCGGCGTGGACAGCTGTCCTCTGTTCGGACAGCAGGCCCAGGACGAAGGGCAGCAGGATCTCCAGGCCTTCAGGAGTGATGCCACTCAGCACCCCATCCAGCTGCTGCCACAGCTGGAAGACCAGCTCCCGGCCCTGCCCCTCATCCCCGGCCTCCTGGGAGAGGTAGGTCAGGATGAACCTGTGCAGGGCAGGGAAGTACGGCGGGAAGGGCAGGACCCCGCTGTAGGGGCTTAGTAGCTGCGAGGGGCATGGCGGAGGCAGGCCCTGCCAGATGGGCTTGTAGGCGAAGAGCTGGGGGCCCCTGCTGTCCTGCTCCTCTCCGAGAAGCTGGGGGTCAGGAACCTTCAGCCGCAGCAGCACCTCCAGCAGATGCTGGAGTGGAGGGGGGACCTCCTTGGGGTGAAGCCAGCAAAGCCTCCGGACAGCCTGGAAGCGCTCCTGAAGAGGCGCCATCGGCTTGGAGGTGCGCAGCTTGGGGGCAAAGAGGATCTCGCCCACTAGCACGCCCAGCACCTGCATGTCCCTCTGAAAAAGGTCCGAGAGCGCCACCGGGAACCGCAAGGGGGGATGCTCCAGCCGGCCCACTGCCCCGTGCACAGCCTTCAACAGGAAAGCATCCAGCTTCTCCAGCTCCTCCAAGGCCTGAAGCAGCTTGTGGCCCTCTGGGAGGACCAGCTTCTCCTCCGCCCCTTCACCCTGGAAGAGAGTGGCAGGGGCCTTGGTCCTCCAGCCAAGAGGCCTGCTGTCCACAGGGAAGCCAGGACCCTGGGCAGGAGGACCGGGCGGCTCCAAGCCTCTGCTGGGCGCCGGGGCAGATTCCAGGGCCTCTGCTCCCTGCTCCACCTCCTCTCCCAGGTTCAGCCCAAACTGGCTTTCGCAGGTGGCTGCATCGATGATCAGCCCAGCGGCCGCCTGGCTCCACTTGGGGGTCTCCACCACTCGTGTCTCCTGGACTGGGGGGATGAGGGGTCGGGTGAAGAGAGGGGCTTCCGCAGGCAGAAGGGTGGCACCCACCAGCCGCCGGGGGTGGGGTTGATCGAAGAGCTGCACGACTCCGTAGCTGGTGAGGTGGGTGTGGTTGTCTACCAGATGCAGGCAGACGTTCTTCTCCTTGACTGCCTCCTTACCCAGCAGCTTGTAGCCAAAGGTAAGGTCGATCCAGTGGTGCAGGTCCCTAGAGACTTCCGGGCTCTCTAGCAGGGCCCGGTGGGCAGCAACAAACTCTTCGCAGGAGCCGTACCAGGGCGGCACCTCCAGATCTGGCATATCAGGGTGGATGGACTTGAAGATGGTGGGGTCCGAGTAGAACTCAGGGATGCACTCGTCAGGGGTCCAAGCCTGCATGCGCTCCAGGTTGGCCGGGTATTCATTGGGCTCCCACTGGGACCGGACGTGGGCGCACAGCACCGCCTTGGGTGTCCGCCGGGCCGTGTACACGTAATAGGTGATGTCAGAGAGGACGTCCGAGATGTGATGAGGCACATGGGGCTGCTCCCCACTCAGGCTGCTTCCCCCCACCACAAAGGCCTGCTTGGTCATCTCATAGGTGAAGTCCAGCTGCTTGTCCCCCTTGTTCAGGCGGAACTTGGACTTCCGCAAGTCCCGAAATTGGCCTCCTCGGGTGGTGAAGTCCATCACCCAAGGGAGCACAGGATGATAGTTGGGGTCCCTCGGGCGCCGCCCCGCCAATCGGTTCAGGTGCATGAGGTAGTCAAAGTTGCTGAGGCGGCCATGCACCCAGTCCAGCACCCGATCCCCAAGATCTGGCAGGGATCCTGCCCCTTCTGCAGCAGCGGGATCCCTGGTCCCCTGGCCCTCTGCTGATGCCTGGTCTGGAGTGCTGGAGGCTACTGCCACGGCTCCTCCCTGCCCAGCCTCCTCCCTGCCCAGCTGCTCGTACCCTTGAAGTGGGACCCTGAGCTGGGCACACAGCTTCTCGTCCACAGCCACGTCCTCCAACGAGAAGGTGCCACATGCCAGGCCTGCCTCGTGGCAGGCCTGCATGGCCAGCAACACCTGGAAGAGGATGAAGAGCAGTTTGGCGTGGCTGTTCGTCAGCTTGGCGGGGCTGAAGGTGATGAGGTCACGCAGGGAGTACCAGACGTACGGGAAGACCAGGAAGAGCATCTCTGAGGACTCCACCAGGGCCTCCGCCTGCAGGACGCTGGAGAAGTGTGGGGGCACATGGCTTGGGGCGTCCTCCTCTTTAGCAGGAGATGAACCAGAGGGCGTCCTTCTCACACGGACCAGTGGGCAGCAGTAGAGCTTCTGCAGGGCTGCCCGGAGCCCCTCCAGGGCCTGGACAGAGGCTGGGGCTGCGGCTGGGTAGTAGCGCTGGACGTATGAGCGGTGGGCTTGGTTCCATAGATTCCTACAGTTCTGGGAAGCCACGCTGCGCATGAACTCGTGAAGGGTCTCTGGGGCCCCTGCGGGATCTTTCTGCGTGTTGGCACTTGCAGTCAACTGGTAGCGCAGCCAAAGTTTCTGCAGTCCGTGGATTTCCACTCGGGTCCAGCCAGTGGGCAGCTTCTGAACCGAGTGCTGGAGAAAGGCGTGGATCTCCAGCTCACTGAGGCCTTCAGGCTGCGGGCACAGAATAGGCAGCACCCCCTGCTCCTTTAGGCTCGCCAGCCATTTTAGGGGCACGAGAGCGACAACGTGGGAGCCCCTGAGCAGCAGCTGACTGCGGGCGATGCCCAAGTCTTTCTCCACCTGCGCCAGGAGGGGATCCATTCTGGAGACGGCAGCGCCTCACCATTCCCTGCAGAGGCAAAGACCCCGGGTCACACAGGAACCAACTCGGGGAAGCAGAAACGGGCAAGGCAGCGGCAGTTCCTACTCCCCGTCTCTCCTGTGGCTGGCAGTTGCAGTTCGGCAGCCCCCCCCCCCCCGCCCAGTATTTGCGGCCCTGCATTTGCCCTCCTCTGTCCCCACCAGAAGCCTTCAAGGGGGCCACCCCTGCCCCGCATCCCGGGGGCCTCCGCTCCCGGCCTCCTCTCGCGCTCAGCCGCCTCCAAACCTGGATTCCCGGGAACCCCGTCCTTGCGCCCGTGGCCGCGCCGAAACGGCCTCCGAGCCGGCTAGCGGAAGGGGCGTCCGGCCTGGCCGCGGACTCTCCGGAGTGCACGAGGCGAAGGCGCCGGCCGGACAGCGGCGGCTCCCGGCACAGCGCAGCGGGCCAGGGAAGCGGGGCGAGGGGGGCGCGAGGGGACCCACCTCTCCCGTCGGAGCCGGGACTCACCCGCAGCGCGCAGCAGCCCCGCCTCCCGCCATGTTGGATCAGCTGATGCGCGAGTCACGTGGCGCCGCTGCTCGGGAAAGACACAAAGTCCACGTGGCCGCCGCGTCGGGGCTCCCCCCCCCCCAGCACTTCTCAGAAAAGACGGCTCTCCCTTCCCTCTCCGGACCCCGGGCGGTTCCCCGCCTCCTGCAGGTGCGGGCCGGGTGGGGGGGGTCTTTTGCGGCCCCAGCGCCTCCTCGGGTCCCCGGCCTGGGCGCTCGACGGCCCCAAGCGGCCCGGCTGTGGGGACGGGGAGCGGGGTCCAGCAGGGGGCGCCTGCAGCGGACTCGCCCAACGCGGAAAGAGGGCGGCGAGGGGCGCTTTTGCCTTTGTTCGGTTTCTATAGGGGCGGCCGATTTAGGGGGGTCCGGTGCAGCCCCGTCGGGAGGGGAGAGTCAGTAACCGAGCAGCCTCCCTGGTCGCTTCGTGGCCAAACCACGAAGCTGCCTTGCATCGCTCTGCCTGTCGAGCAGCACCTGCCGAGGAGGAGGCGCCTGGGCCGCCTCCAGGTAATCCACGATCCGGCCCTTCCGCCCCCCTTTCCAGGAAGCCTCTGGCGGTCCCGAGACCGATGGGGGGCAGAGAGCTCAACTTGGGCTGCTGCAATTCGAACCGCTAATGCGGACGGTGAAAAGCGCACGGCCACCCGCTTGATTTGAGAGCACCGCCGACCTGGTCGGTTTCAGGCTGTAGATGCTCATTGTGGGCAGGCAGAGTCACTGGGGGGTCGGCACGCGGGGCCAATTCTGCGGGGGAGATTTTCCGGAAGGAGACCACCGGCGCCGCCCTGGGCTTCCTGAGCTGCCTGCCCAAACGCCCCTCTCCCCAGCTCCCCCGCGCGCGCGCACGCACGCATGCACACCCACCCACCCACCCACCCACCCGGCAGAATGCGCAGCTTCGCACGGCAGCGGGAGGGGCGGGTGGAGATGGCCCAGTAACTGCCAGCCGCTGAAAGAGCTGCGCGTGGCGGGTCCGCTTTGCCAGGCCTTCCCCAGCGAAGGAGAGCGCGCCGCTGCCTGCGGAGGTCGGAGAGAGATCCCTTAGCCGGGAAGCCGGCCTCTGGGTTTGCGGAACGAGGGATGGGCTGTCTTCTGAAGGGGGTGGTTGGACTCCGCTAAAGCTCATGGAGGCCGCGCCGTTCCTCTTTTGGGCCAGAGGGCTGCCTAGAAGAGGCTGGCAGGTGTCCAGACTCGGGGTCCAGGATCCCACGGCCAGCAAGATTCCCTCCTCCGATCCTTTGCTAGCCCTCCCGCCCCCTCCCCGTGCGCCCAGGGCTTCTGAAGTGAAAGGACTTAGGATGATTCATGTATGTGTCAAATGTCTACGGCAATGGTCAGCGTGGCCATTAGGAGGTGCAGTGATGGGGAGATGGGCAGGGCAGCACTGGGCGGCGGCAGCTCTGCCTGGAAACTGGGCAGCGTCGCCTCCCGTGACTCACCCAGGAATGTCTGGCGGATTTGCTGCCGGCCAAGGACCTGGCTTTGGCTGGCCGGCCTGCCTGCCTCGAACAAACACGCACCCGATGTTGCTGCTACTGCCCACCACCCACCCACCCATCCCAATTTGGAAGACACCATGGGGGAAGGGAAGGCAAGCTGTTCCAACTTGGAAAAGGCCCCTTCCTCCCTGGACAGGTCACAGTGGCTGTCCAGGGCTTTGGCCAGCTGAATGCCATCTCTTTCCCATGCCAACCCCTATGGCAAAACCCTGTGGAGCCAGCTTTGCATGGGGTCCAAAGGAAGGCTGCCAGTCGGCCTGCCCTTTCCCAGAACATTTGACCTCAGCTCCAGAACCACATGGGTAGGGCGCTCTCCCTACACTCAGGCCCAGTGGGCAGGAAGTGGTGCTTGTGAACCCGTGGCCAACCTTGGCTACTGCTATGGGAATTATGTGTCTGTGTGTGGCCAAGCATTGCTCTGGACACAGCCTTTGGCCTCAGCAAACACCAGTTGGAAAGGGCAGCTGTCCCTGGGCTCAAGCCAGGATCTTGGCTCCTTGCCCAGCCACCCTCACCTCCTCCTGTTCCTTCAGATGGGATGCCCACTGCCCAGGATGGCTGCAGGAGGCTCCCCCAATGCTTCCTCCCCTGCTGGCATTTTAGAGAGCCAAGACCCTGCTCTTCACCCAGGCCTTTGGCAAGTGTGATCAAAGCCCTCTGCCCCAGCCCCCGAATGTGTTTTCTCTGATGGTTGTCAGATTTCATTCTTTGCTTGTTTATTGGGTTATTTTATTGCTCCGTGTGTTTTCTTCTGTGAACAGCAGAGATGCTGGGCCTCAGGCCATGTACAAATATAAGAAATAAATACATTTCAGGTTAGAAATTCAGAAATGGAGGTGGTCAGTTCTACTCAATCTCAGCCACTTTTAAAATGTGTGGACTTCAACTCCCAGAATTCCCCAGCTAGCAGAGTGGCCAAGGTTGAGAAACACTGGAGTAGATAGCACATCTATGACTTCCCATATTTTGAATATCTATTGATGAGGCCTGAAAGTTGGGAGGCCCCCCGAGTTTGGCATAAAATAGGCAGCTAAATAAATGTTACAAATAAATAAAATGTATTTGTTTTCTTTGTCAACCCTTTCATATATTATGATGAATGGTTAAACTAAGATCTTTTTCATAAGTGACCCAGATACTCTGCCTGGTTTTGTGACTCAACAGAAAAGCATTGCATTTGTTTCCTGCTACTTTCATCCAGATTTTTTCTTGGTTTCCTGCCCCCATCCTTCTCCCAGGGAAGCTGCCACCCACCCCGGTTGGTTCATGAGGTTTATTTACTTTTCTTCATCGCCCAGGTCCCTTGGGGGTTACTCCGTCTCCCCATTAATAAAATTGCAGAATGGACGATTCCTCGGAGGTCCCTTCCAATCCCGGCAGTCGGAGGCAGTCCGGGGTTGTTGCGACCTTGCCAGGCTCGCCCGCCTTGGCGGTCCCCTCTGCCCCTCCTCTCAGGGTGCGGCATTCCTGGCCTGCGCCCTGCGGAGGAGGCGCTCGGATCGCGCCTAAATATTCCGCTAGGCGCTCCGCATTGTCTTGCGAAGGCCCAGATGGGCCGGGCCAGAGCAGCCCCAGACTCCGTCACGGGTCAGCCGACGAGAAGCTCCAGCCGGCCGCCGCCCAGCTGCTTCGGCCACCCGGTGGGGGCAGGGAGAGGCGCGGGCGGCGCGTGGGAGGGCTGGACGCTCCTTTCCGTCCCGAGTGGCTCGTCTTGCCCGGGGGGGGGGGCGGAGGGCGCTCGGCAGGCGGGATCGGGCGCAAGAGCGGCGCTGGCCCTTTAAGCAATCTGCGCAGTCATTGTCCGCACCGCCAGGATTGCCAAGTCACCGGGTTCAACTCAGTTCTCTCGGCCACGCCCCTCGGGGGGCCTGATTGGCCTGCGGCCGAGGACAGCTCCACTTCCGATTGGGTCCCGCACTTTGCAACAACTTCTCGGAATCTTGCCTACGTCACCGAAGTGGAATTCTTAAAGCTGCAGTGCCCGCGAGGGGGGGCGGCGAGGGGCGCCCCGGGGACCTTTCCTAGCGCAGGAGGGGCGGCCTCCGGAGGCGTGGTCGTGCCCCGCTCGGCCCTCTGGGCCGCGCTGCGCGTCTCGGGAGGCCACGGCAGCGCTTTGCGGGTCAGGAGGCGTCTGCGAGAACCGGGGGGATCTCGCCCCTTTAAGACCCCTCCCGAGTGGAAGAAAATGCCAACTCACAGTGGCGCTTAGCATGACGGGAGGGCGCAGGCGGGGACGAAACTACATTTCCCAGCAGCCTCCGCCACGCCGTGCCAGGGAAAGGAAAGGTCTCCCTGCTGCGGGTCGGGCTGGCGGCTCTTGCCAAGCCCCCGCCCGGCGGCCAGCACGTCAATCAGCGCGGCGGCTTTCGCGCATTGGCCGCTTTCGCGAGGGGGGCTGGGCGGAACCGCCTCCGCCTCGGCCCATTGGCCGGTCCGCCCGCCAATCCGAGGGCGGAGCGGCCGGGCGGCGATTGGGCGGCAGGCGAGGCGGCCAGCTGATCAGAGGCAGCGGCAGCCGGTGAGCGAGCGTGGCGGCGGCGGCGGCGGCGGCGGCAGGGCAGGGCAGGGCAAGCGGCGGCGTTGGCGCCGGCGGGCCGAAGGACCGGGCGTCCGGGCACAGTCTCCTCCGGCGGAGGGCAGGGGACCGGCCGGCGGCACTGGGGCAACCCGGGCCGTGGCTGGGCGTCGGGGGGCGGGGGGGGGGGGCGCTGGCGGCCGGGACCCCTTCCGCGCCTCCTCGCAGGCGACGCCGCGGAGCCTCTACCCGACTGGGGGAGGGCGGGGCGCTCCGGGAGACCGGCGCCCGCGGGGCTCCCGCTTGCAAGGGGCGCAGGCTGGCCGGCCCGGCCGTTGTCCGAGGGGAAGGAGCGCGCCCTTCGCCGCCCCCAAGAAACTTTCTGCCGCGCCCCGCCGGGCCGGAGACTTGGCAGCCGCCGTCGGTGGCCGCGGCCGGGACGCCCCTGCTGCTGATTCATGGCTCGCCGGCGGCGGGCGGGCGGGCGGGGCGGGGCGGGGCGGAGCGCCTCCCGTCCTTGGGCCGAAGTTCAGCTGCGCCGGAGGGGCCGGCAGGCGGCTGGAATGCGGAGCATCCGGAGCAGGCGCTCAGGGAACGCGCGTCGGGGTTAGCGCGGCCCCCCGGGGCTCCCCTCCCCGCTACAACGGGCGGCGGGTCTTCCCGGGTGCCAGACGGGTCCGGGACTGCGGTGACTCAGGCGATGGAGCGGCGCCGGGCTTTCTGCTGGGTGGGGAAGCGCGACCAGGCCTTTCCCTCCGCTCTAACGGCGCCCTTCTCTCCCCTCCCCAGCCTGGCGGTCCGGCCCCTTTGGCTACCCGCAGCAGTTCTTCAGTGGCACGCTTTACGTCCCCTCCAGCAACTAAAGCTGCCAGTTGAAGAACTGTTGGCCGTAGCTGCACTCGCCCAGGGCCAGCCGCCCACCCTGCGGATGGATGGATGGATGGATGGATGGATACAGCTTCTGGAGGCAGCTGCACCGGGTCCCTGACAGGTAAGGCGGCCTGCTGGCCTGCCCTTCTCCGGAGCCCTCTGGGACATCCAGGCCTCTCCTGCCAGCCAAGACGGGCCTCTTTGGACAGCTGCAAATGGTCGACTGCTGCTTTGTCCTGCCCCGCCCAGTAGGGCCTTCGCCTGCTGCCTCAGCCGGTGGGCTCCCTGCAGGCAGTTCCCAGCTGGGCTCTGTGGACCCTCTGTGGGGGATGGATGGCTGCTTCCCTGGCCAAAGTCCCAGGTCTCCTTTCCCTCCGGGTTCTTTGGTCTCCGGGTCTCTCCATTGCTGGGCAGAGGCCTTGGCCTTTCAGCTGAACCTGCCTCTCCACCCCCGAGACCCCTCTCTGGAGCAGGGGTGCTGGGACCCTCAGAGCCCCTTTGCCCCTCATTGCAGCAGCAGCTGAGGCGGCAGCTGCTTCCTCTTGCTGACTGGTGGGTTTGGCCAGTGGGTCCCTTTCTACACCCAGGTGCTCGGATGTGACAGGAAGAGCCAGATTTTGCTGTGTGGGGCTGAGCGGAAAGGGGCTGTGCAGTCCTGTTTCCCCCTCGGCCCAGCAGTGGTGGTAGCCTGCCAGCTGAGTGGAGGAGAAAGAAGCGGCTGTGGCCCATCTCTCTGCCTTGTCCTGTCCCCAGACAACCTTTGTGGGGGAGTGGGAGGGCAGAGGATAGGCTTCCCTGACATTCAGGAGCCGGTGCCCTCCAGCCGTGCGGATCAATGCCAGGACGGCCACTCCATCTGCCGGCTGAGTGTGGGACTGCTGGCAGCTGTGGAAGCTGGAGGTCCAAGGGAAAACCCTGAGAGGGCTGCGGTGGTTGGGGGATTCTGCTTCTGCCTTGGAATTGGGGGTGTGTGTGTGTCCCTGCTTCCTTCATTCTAAGCTAGGAAAGAACATAGCATGGATGGGCAGGAACAGCTTTCATAACCTTCTCCCCCCTCCATTTGGGGCTGTTGCTCCTGGTCCATCCTGCGCCCTGCAGTGGGATTCTCCCTCCCCCCCCCAGAACCGCAGCTATAAATAACTGAAGACCCCAGAAGTCATCTCTTCTTCATTGCTTTTACTCTCTTCTTTAACAGACAGGATTTGAGAAGTGGCCTGTTCCAGCCAGAGGGAGTCGGAGGCGACCTTGAATGGGCCATGGGTCTGACCCCCCCCCCCCAAGCAGTGTTTCCCAGCCTTGAAGATTCATGACTTCAACATGGCTGACTGGGGGATTCTAGGAGTTAAAAGTCCACATAACTTAAAGTTGCCAGGTTGGGAAGCACTGCCCTAGCGCCTTAAGACTGGAACAAAGCCAAAAGCCTGCTGGTGGTCAGTGGCCCCCAGCTCAAGTTTCAGAAGAAAGGGACTGAAGTCACAATTTTCTTGTTCTCGGTTTATTTCAGCCCGACAAAAGGGTGCTTCTGCCTGTGACCCCCCAAGCGATGAGGCAGACTATTGGGGCGGCTCTTCCTTCGGCAGCTCCTTCTCCTCTGTCATGGACCTGCAAAGAGGCCACTTGGCTCAGGGGGGCCAGGACAAAGAGCCAAAGGGCTGGCGATTGGGGATGGGGACTTACTCTGCCTCCTGCTTGGAGATGCATTTCCCAGAGTACAGGCTCTCGGCCACCATGGCCACCAGGGGGTCAAAGTTCAGGCTGGCCACTGCAGTCACCCAGCCATCCCTGGGGGAGGAGAGAAGTCAGAGAAGGAGCCATCTCCCAGGAAATGGGGAGGGATGCAGGGCACCCGAAAAGTTGTCAGAGAGGCAGTTGCTTCCTTCCCAACCTCTCCCCATGTTGCTGACTGCGAAGACTGGGTCACCACTAAGCAGAGTTCCCCTTCTGCCCCCATTGGCATTTGGGTGGGGCACAAGTATGGGGAGCAGATGCTAATCAAGGTGAGGTCACCATCATCCCAGTAGGAAGGAGGATTCAAATGGGAGTCCTCCAGCTCCCTCCTTGCATAGAAACTGCTTGTCTTGCTCCTGAAAGCCAGGTAGGTGGTTTGCCTCTCTGGCTCCTTCTCACCTGAGATAGAAAAGGAGGAACCTCTCCTGGCCCAGTTCACCTTTTGGCACAGTCTCCGTGTGGCCCGTCCCGTAGCCTGAGAAAGAGCAGGGAGGGGTCTGGCTCCGGCCAAGCAGCCCTGGAAGCCGTCCCGGACCTCGGAGCTTCCACCTTGTACGTCTCGCTGTCCTATCCAGACAACCCCCCTTCCATCTCCCAGGCTGTACCTGCGTAGCGGATGCTCTTTGACTGCAGCTTGGTCCAGAAGAAGGGCACCGTGTGGAGCGGCTTCTGCCTGTGCAACATGTTCAGGGCCGCCACGTGTCCTGGGCAGGAAAGAGATGGTCCATCTGTCCCCCTTGCGAGACCAGGAAGCTGGCTGGCCCAAGCGCTCAGGAGGCCTGGGGGACCCAGTGGGACCCATGCAGAAGGTCTGGCAATCGAGTGCGACCCTGGTCTCAGCCGGGTCACCCTGCGCCACACATGGAACCGCGGCTCTGAGGAGACCCATCCCGCCTCGCTCTGGGACTGCAGGGGCCAAAGGGCTCCCCTGCACTTGAGCCAAGGTTCCCCACGAGAGGGTCGATGCAGGCTGAGTGCCCCATTCGGACAAGCCCCCTCCCAGGAGCTTCCTCCAGCCCGGGCCAGGAGTCACCCGGGACTTCTGGGTCTGGGGCTGATTCAGGGCTCAACCAGACCCGGCTTCTGCTCTGCCATCCTTTTCACCCTGGTGGGGGTGGGATTGGCTACTGACGGTTGTGCCCCTTCTGGCCCATAGCCAAAGTCTAGCTCGAAAGATGGCTGCTACCGTGGGCTTGGGCAATCTGCCAGTGATAGATGGACGCAGACTTCCCACCAAACAGAGCCACGGGAAAGGAGGCCACATCCCCAGCAGCAAAGACAGACGGGGCGCTGGTCTGCATGAACTGGAAGGGAGCAAAGATACTGGTCAGTGAATGGAGGGGGGAGGCGCTCCCTCAGAGTGACCCACCAGTGCTTACCAGGTCCACCTGGATGGCACCTCCACGGTCAAGCCGGATGGAGCTTCCCTGGATAAAACTGGTATTTGGAGTGACGCCTGTGGAGGGGAAGTGGAGCTTCCTGTCAGGCCAGTGCAGTCTCATGTGGGGGCTAGCCCCACTCCCCCCAAGGACATGGGGACATCCTTGCTGATAAAGCAGCTGCAAGAAATAGCCTGGCCCTCCAGATGTGGCCAGCTGCAGCCCTGGGGACCCCAGCTGGTGGGCAGGAGCACAGCCTTCTATCTCCAGCCTTTGCTGCTCCCCCTGGTGGGCAGAATAGGAATTGCTAGCCCTGTTCTATCCTGGTCACAGACCATTGGAAATAGGAAGCGGCTCCTTCTACCTATCCCTCCCCCCTTCCTCTCCTCCCCCCCCCTGTTTTCCCCATCTCTTTTAGTGTGAAAATGGTGCCAGAGCGCCTCCGACTCACCGATGCCCACTACCACCAAATCAGCAGGGAGAACAGAACCGTTGCTAAGAACAACGCCGGTGACCTGGGAGGGAAAAAGAGGCAGAGATGCAGCAGCCCCCCCTCACTCTCCCCTTCTCAAAGTCCTGGCCTGCCAGCTTCCGGGGCAGCAGGGGGTTGGTCCCATACCTTCCCATCTTCGCCCTGCATCTGGGCCACATCTACCTTCATGTGGAACTGAACTCCCTGGGCTTGGAGCATCTGGAAAGGAGGGAGGATGGATGGATGGATGGAAGAAAGAGGAAAGGAAGGAAGGATTATTCTCCTTGCTGCATTGCCCTCATCCAGTCACCTCCCCTCCAGGGCTGCTCCAAGAAGCCCCTCTGGTTGGCAGATGAGGGTGGACCTAGAAGGGGCCTTGCTGAGCCTTGGAAGTGCTTGAGCCAAATGGGGACTTGCCCACCAAAGAAAGAAAAAGGTTTGCATTGCTCAGGCACTCTCGCTGTGATGTACCATCGTCCTGTGGTGGCTACAATAAAAGAAAGCAAGCTATAGATGTTTTTCCAGCAAAACATCCAAGATTTTCTGCCTAAACTCAGCTACAAGGATCGGCCTATGTGTAGGTGCCCCTGGGGACCTCTCCTCCCGGAGAGCAGCCCTTGTTGCTGTGGGATTGCTTGCCCTTCCCTACCTTCATGGCCACGGTGCCCACCTGACCTCCCAGGGTCAGCAGGTAGGGCAGTTCTTCTCTTTCCACCACCTGTAGCTGGGCTGCTTTGCCAACCAGGCTGGCCGCCACCTCCATCCCTGTGAGGAATGAAGGCCAGGAGCTGAGAGGAGGCCGGCATAGAAAGTCGAGGAGGGTACTGGGGGAGGGGTGGATAGCCCCCATTCCTTCCAGCTCATAGCTATGGGTGGAAATAAGTCCAGAGTCCCCGTACCAATGAAAGAGGCTCCTACAATCACGACGGTCTTGCCCAGGGCCAAGGCCAAGATCCGGTTGGCATCTTCAGGGGTGAGGAGCATGCGGACATTCTCCAGGCTGCAGCCTGGGCATTGGAGCTTCCGAGGGCTGGGCAGAGAGGAGAGAAGCCTGTCAGAGCCCTCACCTGCTACCCTCAGTGATACCTGGGCCACCCCCTCTGCTCTCCCCACCAGGTGGCGTCATTTACCTGCTGCCTGTGGCAATCAGCAGGCTGCTGTATGCCTGGGATGTCCCGTCCCGGAAGCGGGCCATTTTGCCTGCAGGATCCAGAGACACCACCTGCAGCCAGATGAAAGGCTAGATGCAGAGGGGTTGGGCAGATGCCCAGATGAAACCCCCTCCCCCCCATCCAGGCTGATCCCAAGCCAGCAGCAGACTCAAAGGAGGCCCAGACGGTCCAGCACTGGGACCTTCCCGAGGTGTCTGCTGGCACGGGACCCATGGGAGGAGCCCAGCGGGCAGAGGCTGGTTTCTTTCCCAGTGCAGGAGTGAGCCTTTCACAGCGGAGCAGTTTCTCCTCTGAGCTTCAGGACATGATAGGCTGAGCTGGCTGCTTGCCAGGTGGGGACGGGACATAAAGCATCAAGGGGAGGTTGAATTGTGCTCCCCCCCCTCTTGAATCATGCCAAACCATCCCTACCCACCTCACTCTGCTTCCAGACTTCGATGTCGTGGGCATCCAAGAAACTCTGACTTCGGAGATACAGGCTCTCCGCTGGGGCCCCCAAGTCCTAGGAGGCCGGAGGAGAAGCAAGGCTCTTATGAACTGGGGGCTTCTCAGTGCCCAGGCATGGGGTACCTGGGGCCCTTTCAGCAATCAGGAGCAGCCAAGGGGAGGAGGGATAGGAAGGAAGTCTCCCTTCTTCCTCCCCTCTCCCTTTTCCTCTTCAGGGCTACCCCAGAGGCTTCTGGACCTCGATGCGCTCTCATGGGCCAGCTCCCTTCCTCTCCCCTGGTTGCTTTCAAAGCCCAGAGCCTCACACCTCACCAACAGAATGGGTGGTGGTGGTGGTGTCCCCCTCCCCTTCTGAGAAGCAGCAGCTACCCCCCTCCCCACACACTACTCAACTCACTGCCCCCCCATGCCAAGTTAAACCCCTCCCCAGCCCAAACCTGGGTTAACTTTGTCTTGTCATAGGGAAGGTGGTTCTCCCAGGTGGCCATGACGATCCTGCCAGTGAAGCCCTCTTGCCGAAGAGTTTCAGCGCAGGTCAGGGCTGCCGGGCCTGGCAGGGGAGGAAGAGATCCAGTCCAGTTCTGCCCTGTCGCTGGACCTCAGCCTGGCTCTGCCCCCCCTGCCTTGACCACAGACTCACCTGCTCCTAGCAGCAGAACAGTCTGGGGGTCCAGCTGGCACTCTCTGGCCATGGGCTTCACTCTGCGGCTGCTTTCAAGATCCTGTCAGGGAGGGAAAGATGGGGAGGAAAGCAGGCGGGGGGGGGGGGGGGGGGGGGGTAATGCCCTGCAGGCTACTATCAGTCAGGCACGGAGGCCACCTACCTTCATCCTGGCTGAAATATACACTTGCCCCTCCTCCACAGTTACCTGCAACAAGAAAAGTCATTTCCTGAGAGGTCCGTGGGGGTGGGGGCTGTGGCAGACTGGCAGGGGTGTCTTCCCCTTCCCTTGGCAATCTGGAAGGAACTCTTGCACAGTGGCCCTTTTAAGCGCCTCACCCCCCCCACCCCCAGGTAGTAACCAGGAGCCCAAGAGTGCCCTTCCTGAGGCCCAGGATAGGAAGGCATTTGTTCTGCTGTGTGCAGGGTGTTCCCCAATTGATCTCCCCCCTCCCAGGGCCAAGCTGCCTTGCTGATCCCTGAGCCTGGCCAGCCATGACCCTTCCCTGTGACAAAGCCCTCTCACGCGATGGGTGGGATTAGCTCTGGCGCCCTCTTTCTGTAACCACTTTGCCCACCAGCTTGGCTAATGCCTGGCTTGGCTAAGGAGTTCCATTTGCTTGAACTGGAAGGCAGCTGTGCACACAGCCAGTTGGTCTAGCGGTTAAAGCATCAGGTTAGAAAGAGGGAGACCAGGAGTTCTAGTCCTGCCTTAGGCTTGAAAGCGGGCTGGGTGGCTTTGGACCAGTCCCTCTCTCGGGCCAACCCACCTCAGAAGGTTGTTGCTGTGGGGAAAATAGGAGGAGGGAGGAGCACTGGATATGTTTTCTACTTAGGGTTATTTGTAAAAATAATAAAGGTGGGATATAAATAAATAACATCTGCTCTTGAGGAGTTATAAAGGTGGGATATAAACATGTAAAATCTGCCTACATCCCCAGGAGGGTGGTCTTATCCTGCCCAGGTTGCAGAGCGGACGCCAGCTGGGGCTGCTGTGCCAAAGGGAGGGCCAAAGAGGGCCAACCTCTGTTGCACCTGGCCAGGATGGCATACAAGCCCAGTGGACCTAGGCCTGTGGGGCGCACTCACAAGCGCAGGCAGCTTCAGCAGGAGCTGCACTGCTGCTCAGATCCTAAGAGCTCAGCAGTTGACACCTGTGGGCTCCTTTCCCACTGCTAAGGGCTCCAGAAGTATCTGTTGCCCCCAATAAAAAAAGACTTTGAGAGGCTGCTGCAGAAGATGAAACCCCCCCCCAAAAGAACAGTATATGAAAGCCTCTGGGAGCTAGGATCATACATTCCCCTTGGGGGAGGGGGGGCAGGCAGAGTTCAAACTTACTTGGAAAACAGGCAGACAGTCCAAGGTGGGATATTCTTCAATGTCACCAGTCTCGGTGCTGAAGCAGGCACCATGCCAGGGGCAACGCAACCGGCCCTTTGCCAAGTAGCCTGAACCCCAGAAAAAGAGACCCACGGGTGGGTGGGTGTGGAGGCAGTGTCTACTGAGAAACCGGAGCACACAATGCCCCTAGAGGCAGCTGAGACTGCCAGAGCTGAAAAGAGGCAGCTGCTGGCACCAGCCCTTGGCAGCAAGGCCAGCACAGGGCCTCAGAGGGGCGCGGGGTGCTCTTAAGGCCCAATGCTTCTCTGGGGTCCCCATGAGCAGCAGCCCCTCACCATGAGCAGAGCCTGGATCCAGAATACCCGAAAGCCAAGCCTTTGCTCAGTATGACAAGGGCCTCACCCAGATCCCCCCTTTCTTCCTAGCCCAGAGGAGGCTGCACGGTGGTGGTGGGGGGCTCACCTTTGCAGAGGGCAGCTCCAGCATGAGGGCATCGGCCGCCCAGCGCTCGGATGACCAGGCCTTCCCTCAACAGCAGCACGGGGTATCCGGCCACCTCGACTTCCAGCATCCTGCACCAAAGAGGGACAGAAGAGCCTTGGCTAATAAGCCTTTACTAGGCTAGGAGCACCCCCCCCAATGGATTGGGATTGGAGGAAGTGCTGGTGGTAAAAGGCCCCCCCCCCCCATTTTTGGGAAACCCCCCCCCCCCCGCCCCCAGCCTCCCTGTAAAAGCAAGAACCGGCTGTCTTGGGAATGGGCCAAAGGAGACGCATTTCACACATGGCCCCTTTGCTTGGGGCCCCTCTTGTGCATGAGTTGAGCCGGCACCTTAACCAAGAGGAAGCCCTGGCTGAGACCCCCCCCTCCTCCCACAAGGTCTTGCAAGGGCTGCCTTGGGAGCTCAGAGGTTGCAGAAGAGACTCAGCAGTTCTGGAGCTGGCCCAGATCATCCATTCAGAAACTGTGGTCAGCTGCACCGGGGTGGGTGGGTGGGAGGGAAGCCCCCTTCGAGCTGCCAAGGGAGAGTCTGAAGGTCAAGCCAGGCCCTGGTCAAGGGCCAGGAAGCCTTTGAGGCTTTGAGCCCAGCCAGGCTCCAGACTGAGAGAGGCCCTTGGGGCAGTCCCAGGAGCATAGCCCCTCTTTCCTTCTGAGGCCCCACCAGCCAGACCCGCCGACCCACCCAGGAAGCAGGAAGGCTGGATCTCAGGGCAGGGAAAGAGTGTGCCCGTAAAGGCAGCCTGGCCCTCTCCCCCCCAACAGGGGCCTCTCTCTGATCCCAGAGAGGCTCCCCTCAACTGGTCAGGAGGCTGACCTGGGCGCCAGCAGCTGCATGCATGCCGGCTCAACTCATGCACAAGAGGGGCCCCAAGCAAAGGGGTCAGCCCTGTTCTGACCCCAGGGATGCTGACTCACTCTCCGTCGTGGAGCTCATCTTCATGGCAGACACGCTGTGTGACCAGGGTGTCTGCTCCATCCTTCTTCTGAGCTGAGACTGGAAAGAGAGAGGAAGGAAGAAGAGGAGGAAGTTGGGGAGACCCTCTAACATCCCCCCTCCCTCCCAGGGGACCCTCTGCCGCAGCTGCAGGTATGAAAGGACCATAGAGGCTCCTGGCCAAGGAAGAGTTCCTCAGAAAACCCACCCACCCTTTCTGCCACTGGGGCTGGCACCAGAAGGTCCATAAGCAGCAGCCACTGGGCACTGGGGCAGCTGCAAAGACTGCCCCCCCCCATGAGAGCTCCTCCGCTGGGAACCTTCTTGGCTGTCAAGGGAGGAGGATGGCTTTTCTTGGAGCAGCTGCAGGAATTGCCTTTGCAAGCACAGCAAGAGGCAAAATCTTTCAACCACAACTCTTAGTTAAGCCCTGCCAGAGGCGCACATGCGCGCGTGCACACACACACACACACACCCCACCGCTGCTTGAATCCCTATCACGAATAGCTCACTCCCCTGCCCAGCCGCCACTTTGAGAAATGATGAGGGATGAGAGAGAAGGACTGGCCCAAATCTGGCTTCCTGAGACTAGAATTCACAGCCTCCTAGTTTCTCCCCTGCCGCCTAATCATTGCACTAGACGGGCTCTCTGTGGTGATAGGAGGATCTGTTATGGGAAATCAGACTGAAATGCAAAGCTAATAAAGTCAAATGCGTTTGGAGTCGTGTCCCCCCTCCCCCCAAAGTGCTGGTCCTTCTGTAAAGTAGCTTCATTTTCCCAGCCCCGCCCAAATCGCCAGCCCCTCCCCTTTGGTTACCTTTTTACTCGCTACAATCCGCGACGCCGCCCCCCCCCCACCCCCGCGGGGAAGAATTATCCACCCCACTTCAAACAAATGCAATAAGATCGGGACCAGCCTTCAGAAGCCTAATGCGTCCTTCCGTAATTCCCAACCAGACAGGTTTTCCAGGCTGGGAATTCGGCGGTGGGGTGTCCCAGTGCAGCCGAGTTGTGGGGACGCCTTTCCCAGTCCAGAATCTGGCAGAAGGGAGCCGAAGGAGGGTTGCTGCTTTCTCTCGCCAAAGGCAGGGCGGGTGAGCAGGTGGATGGTTGATGGGTCCACCTCGGGCGGCCCCTCGTGCAGGGTTAATGGCTGCCCCAGGTGTTGGACCCGAAAGAAAGCGGGCGGGACAGAGCAGAGAGCAAGGCGGCAAGCCATCTCTGCTCCGTGCTGTGTCCCCTTCAGCCTCGAAAGGCAAGGGCTTCTGCTCCCACGTCGTGGCCTGCCCGGAGAGGCGTCCGTCCCCCCACCCCACTCAGCCAACGGCAGCAAAGGCACCCCGCCCCCGGGGCCAGCCCCTCACCCCATCCTCAGAGCAGCCGCCCCCAAGAAGCCCAGACTCACCGGGGCTTGGCGGGGCTGCCATCGGGGAAGGACAAGGGCGGCGTCGGCGGCGTCTCGGAACAGAAGAGGGGACGGGACGCGCCTGCAAGCGCCCGTCCCTTTATCGCCCATCCAACCTGGCGCCGCCTCCCAACTTGCCCAAAGTGGGCGGGGTGCATTTATGTAGGCATTTATAAGCCGCCCGACTCCGTCGCGAGAATCCTGGCGACTCGCAGCCGAGGGGGGCGGGTAGGGCAGCGTTGGGGCCCTGCCCACTCCCGCCAACCGGAGAGCGCAGGGGCTGCATCGCAGAGAACAGGCGAGGAGAAGACCTCCGGGCACCACCACCTGCTTCGGGGCGCCCGCCACTTCGGCCCAGCGCTGCCCTCCTTTCTGGGCTTCCGCGCTGGCCAGACTTGCAGGAGCCCCCGAGCGGGGAAGACCTAACCGCCACTAATGCCAACAAGTGACCTGAGTCCAAGCGGCAGCCGAAAGGCGTCGGGCGGCCGCGGACCGGCTGCATCCGGACGGCGCTCACGGCTCGGCGGCCCTGGGCGAACGGAGCCGGCGGCACGGCTGACCTCAGCGGGCTGGCCGGCGGGTCCCCGGGAGCACCGGAGGCCACAGCACCCCCTCGCTTTGGGGTGAGTCGACGCCTGCGATCCCGGGCAACCTTGGCGGTAGAGCTCCCGCTAACTAGGCGGCTTCCCGGCAGCGCCAAACGCTCCTCTCCCCCGGGAAGCCCGCAAGTGGCGCTTGAACAGAGGCGGTCCCCGGCTCCGGCTCTTCGCGCTCCGAAGGCCGCCCGCCGCCCTGCAGGGGCCACGAGGGTTGCCGAGCGGCGGGGCGCTCCCCAAGGCCGGCTCGGGCGGCTGCCGGAGCTCCTCAGGCGGCGCTGCGGGCGAGGCTCCCGGCCGGGGGACCAGTGGCGGGTCGGGGCTCTCTGTCCGAGAGGGGGGGCGCGTCGCCATGGAGACGGGGCGGGCGGAGCCAATGGCGGGCGCCGCCGGGGGACGGTTTGTCCGCCGTCACACCCCGCGGCTCCTCCCGCTCCGCGGTTGCCCCTTTCCCGCCCGGCCCTCCGCGCTCTTGGCTCCCGGCTGCCCTCGAGTGGCGGGGCCGGCGGGCTCGGGGCTCAGGCAGCCCCGCGATGGATTTAGTGCTGCTGCTGGGGGGCTCGGTGGGCGCCTTTCGGCTGCTCAACACCCTCCTGGAGCGCCTGGTGCCGCCGCCGTCCCCGGCGCAGCCCGTCCGTTGGAAGTGGCGCAACATTTGGACGTCGCTTGCCCACAGCGTGCTGAGCGGCTCCTGGGCCCTCCTCGGGTGGGTGTGGGTCGCGGTCGGGGTGGGCAGGCGGAGCCGCGCAGGGCGAGCACTCACCCAGCCCCCCTTTCTCCGGCCGCAGGTTCTACTTCTACCCTCCGATGGGTGAGGATCTCATCGACCAGTTCTCGCCCTCCGCGCACTGCTTGCTGGGCATCTCCATCGGTAAGTGCCTCTCCCGCCCCAGACAGACCCTTCCCCGACCAGCCGCCCCCCGGCCCGCGAAGTCAAGAAGGGAAAGCGCCGCTGCCGCCGGTTAGCTTCGGGGTGCTTGAAAGGGCTCCTGCGACGCAGGGATACAGCGAAAGCAGAGAAGCGCCCCCAACTCTGGCCAGCCGCACCCCTCTTTCTCCCGCTGGATAGGGGGGCAGCCCAGTTGCACGTTGCCGGCCACGCTTCTGTGCTGGCATCTGGCGGAGGAGGGCACTGGTGCCAGGCGAGCCCCTCGCCGTTCCCTTCCTTGCATGTGACCGCGGGGGCACACAATTGCTCCATTTTCCTGCTCCGTGGCAGCCGCTGCTGCCTGAGACGGCCCTTGCCCCTTCCTCTTGAGGGAAGCTTACAGCTTGATCTCCCCCACCGCCCGACCCCCCCTTAACTGCGGCAAAGGAGCGACAGAAAGAATCGTTCCGTAAAGTTTACTCCTTCAGGCGAGATGGATTGCGGTTCCCAGGAATTCTAGACAACCTCTGGAGGGGCGTGATAGGGAAAGACCCCCCCCCACTCTTCCAGAACAACAGGTAGGGGTGGGGCGGGACTAAACCACCAATTGCTCTTCCCGGCTGGAGCCTGGGTCTGGGTCTGACCACGGGGTGAGTGACGACTATTGGTGGCTTCAGTCTGCGGCACCCGTCTCTGATTCCTCGAGGGGGAATCGCGGAGGGGGGGATTCCACGGAGTCCAGCGTGCCAGCTCAGCCTCCCCTGTTGCCCACTTGCTGTGCCCACACACACCCCAATCAGCTGAGCCAGACATTGGCTCAAGGGTGCTGGGGAAGAAGTCAGCGGGAGAGCTGGGTTTTCTTGCTGTTCAAGCAGAGGAGGTTCATCCCTGGAGGTTTGCTGAGAATAACCACCTACTAAGGGACATTTCTAGTGGTAAAAGCAGAATCAGCCTCTGACCTGTCCAGATGTGCAGGTAACAAGCATCATGTTGGAGGCCTGGTTGGTGGCTGCTTGTGCGTATTTGGTTCCTAGTTAAATTTTCCTGGCTTTTGCTGGAGCCAAGTGGAATAACACTTTATTTTTTCTGAGTTAAAACTTTTTATTACTTTATTAGGAATAAAACTTTATTAAGGTGCTGCTTCAAAATGTTTACAAGCACACCAATGTGTATTTGTGCTAACGCAAACTTGTGTGTCTATTTTCAGGTTATAATTTGCATGTCTTTAATTTACAAAAGGAATTTGAATCCCTATAGGATTAAGTTTGGGGCTAGGATTAAGTTAATCACTCTAAGGCTGCTAGGGTTTAAAAAAGGTTTTTTCCCCCCTGTTTGAGGGAATGATTTAAAACCGCATAGAAATAAAATCTTTTCGAATAAGTGGGAAATGCAGGCTGTTGCTACATTTCAGGGGCTTCTTTTCCTGAATTCGAGGTGCTGATTTTAAAACTCCACAAAAATTAAAGGCATTGTTGTTGTTAATTGCAAAGTCATGTCCGCCCCATCACAACCCCATGGACAATGTTCCTCCGGCCTTCCTGTCCTCTACCATCCCCCGGAGTCCATTTAAGCTCATGCCGACTGCTTCAGTGACTCCATCCAGCCACCTCGTTCTCTGCCATCCCCTCCTTCTTTTGCCCTCCATCTTTCCCAGCATTAGGCTCTTCTCTAGTGAGTCCTTCCTTCTCATTAGATGGCCAAACTATTTGAGCTTCATCTTCAGGATCTGACCTTCTAAAGAGCAGTCAGGGTTGTTCTCCTCTAGGACTGACCAGTTTGATTCCAACTTTTTATTCAACTAGCCTCGCCTTTCTCATGATGTGCTCTGCATATAAGTTAAATAGGCAGGGCGACAGTATACAGCCTTGCCAGACTCCTTTCCCAATTTTGAACCAATCAGTGGTTCCGTGTCCAGTTCTCACTGTTGCTTCTTGACCCTCATATAGGTTTCTCAAGAGACAAATAAGATGGTCTGGTACTCTCATCTCTTTAAGAACTTGTCACAATTTGTTGTGATCCACACAATCAAAGGCTTTAGCATAGTCAATGAAGATGTTTTTCTGGAACTCCCTAGCTTTCTCCATGATCCAGCGTATGTTGGCAATTTGATCTCTAGTTCTTCTGCCTCTTCAAAATCCTGCCTGTACTCCTGGTAGTTCTCGATCCACATACTGCTGGAGCCTAGCTTGCAGGATCTTAAGCATACCTTTACTAGCATATGAAATGAGTGCAATGGTGCGATAGTTTGAACATTCTTTGGCATTGCCTTTCTTTGGAATTGGAATGTAAATTGACCTTTTCCAATCCTGTGGCCACTGTTGAGTTTTCCAGATTTGCTGGCAAATTGAGTGTAGCACTTTTACTGCATCGTCTTTTAAGATTTTGAATAGCTCAGCTGGAATACTGTCTCCTCCACTAGCTTTGTTGTTGCTCAGATTTCCTAAGGCCCATTTGACTTCACATTCTAGGATGTCTGGCTTGAGACCAGTGACCACCCCATTGTGGTTATCAGGGACGTTAAGCTCATTCTTGTATAGTTCTTCTGTGTAATTTTGCCACCTCTCCTTAATCTCTTCTGCCTCTGTTAGGTCCCTGCCATTTTTTTTAAATTTGATTTATATGCCCCCCTTCTCCGAAGACTCAGGGCGGCTTACAATGCGTTAAGCAATAGCCTTCATACTTTTGTATATTTATACAAAGTCAGCTTATTGCCCCCACAATCTGGGTCCTCATTTTACCTACCTTAGAAAGGATGGAAGGCTGAGTCAACCTTGAGCCTGGTGAGATTTGAACTTGCAGTAATTTCAGGCAGCTGATATTAATAATAGTGCTTTAGTCTGCTGCGCTACCAGGGCTCCTTTTGATCCTTTATCATGACCATCTTTGCATGAAACGTTCCCTTCATATCTCCAGTTTTCTTGAAGAGATCTCTGGTCTTCCCTATTCTACTGTTTTCTTCTATTTCTTTGCACTGTTCATTTAAGAAGGCATTCTTATCTCTTCAAGCTATTCTCTGGAATTCTCCATTCAGTTGGGTGTAACTTTCTCTTTCTGCCTTGCCTTTCGCTTCCCTTCTTTCCTCAGCTATTTGCAAAGCTTCCTCAGACGGATATTTTGGTTTCTTGCCTTTCTTTTTCTTTGGGATGGTTTTAGTTACTACCTCTTGTACAATGTTGCGAACCTCCGTCTATAGTTCTTCAGGCACTCTGTCTATCAGATCTAATTCCTTAAGTCTATTTGTCACCTCTACTGTATATTCATCAGCGATATGATTTAGTTCATACCTGAGTGGCCTAGTGCTTTTCCCTACTTTCTTCAATTTAAGCCTAAATTTTGCAACGAGAAGCTCATGATCTGAGCCACAATCAGCTCCTGGTCTTGTTTTTACTGACTGTATAGAGCTTCTCCATCTTTGGCTGCAGAGCACATAGTCAATCTGATTTCTGTGTTGGCCGTCTGGTGATGTCCATGTGTAGAGTCATTTTTTGGATTGTTGGAAAAAAGTGTTTGCTATGACCATCATATTATCTTGACAGAATTCTATCAGCCAGTGCCCTGCTTCATTTTGTACTCCAAGGCCAAACTTGCCTGTTATTCTGGTTATCTTTTGGCTTCCTACTTTAGCATTCCAATCCCCCATGATCATAGGGACATCATTTTTTGGTGTTAATTCTATAAGGTGCTGTAGGGCTTCACAGAACCGGTCAATTTCATACTCTTCAGCACCAGTGGTTGGGGCATAGACCTCGACTACCATGATATTGAATGATTTGCCTTAGATTCAAACTGAGATCATTCTGTCATTTTGGGGATTGTATCCCAGTATTGCTTTTCCTACTCTTTTATTGACTATGAAGGCTACTCCATTTCTTCTGAAGGATTCTTACCCCCAGTAGTATATCTGATGGTCATCTGAATTAAATTCACCCATTCCTGTCCATTTTAGTTCTCTGACGATGTTCAGTCTTGTCACCTCTTGTTTGACCAGGTCTAGCTTGCCTTGATTCATGGATCTTACATTCCAAGTTCCTATGGAGAATAGATCTTTACAGCATCGGACTTTCCTTTCAGCACCAGATACATCCGCAGCTGAGCATCCCTTCGGCTTTGGCCCAGTCGCTTCACTCTTTCTGGCGCTACTAGTACTAGCCCTCTGCTCTTCCCCAGCAGCATATTGGACACCTTCCAACCTGAGGGGCTCATCTTCCAGCATCATATCTTTTTGCCATTTGGTACTATCCATGGGGTTTTCATGGGAAAGATACTGAAATGGGTTGCCACTTCCTTCTCCAGTGGATCACGTTTTGTCAGAACTTTTTGCTATGACCTGTCCGTCTTGGGTGGCCCTGCACAGCGTAGCTCATAGCTATGCAGAATTGGCAGCCGGAGTCGGACAGTGTGGAGGCTGGGGAGGAACATGGGCCAGTAGCCTGTAACAACACAGGGTCCAGATGTTGCCCTCGCACCTAGAACCTGCAGGAGCCACTCCAGAGCAACCGTCTCCACAGCTTTTCGTCTCTGCTTGCAGCCCTTGCTCTCCTGCCAAACTAGCTGCTGGTTCTGGAACGGTTGCAGGCTCCCCTCTGCTCCCCTACCCAGTGAAGTCCCCTCCAGCAGCTCCCATCTCCTCTCTTACTCTGTCAGCCACCTGCAGCGTCCAGAGCCGCCATTATCAAGGCTCCGTTGTGCATCTCATTTCTCTGCTTTTCTTGCTGCTTTTTGTGTTCTGTATCCAAGAAATATAATGCCACGCTCCAGGTGCCTCGGGCATTTCCCCCTCTTGGCCTATGTGCCTGTGATCTTGCACTAAGTCATCTGTCTTCCTTAAAAGGGAAGGCGTGGCCTTGAGCCAGGCCCAGCTGTTCTTCTTAGAACGTAGAATAATAGAGCTGGAAGGGACCTTGGAGATCTTCCAGTCTAACTTGAGCAGGGGACCCTATACAATTTGAGACAAGTGACTGTCTAATTTCTTCTTTAAAAACTCCAGTGTTGGAGCACCCACAGCTTCTGGAGGGAAGCTCTTCCATTAGTTGTTTGCTCTCACCATTAGGAATTTCTCCAGCTGGGCATTCCAACACGGGTCACACTGCTGCTGCTGCTGCTGCTGCTGTGGGATCCTTGATAACAAGCTGAAGATGAGCCAGCCTTTGGGATAACAATCTGCTAGAAGGGCTGAGGCCACCCTGGGCTGCCGTAGAGGAAGCATCACATCACAGAGGCGGGAAGTAACTCTGCTCCCTTCAGCTCCCCTGGGGTTCTCTGGCACCCTTTCCAAGGGCCTGATTATGTGTTCACTCTGGACCACAGAAAGGCGAGGGAGAAACTGGATAGCTGTGTTTGGGGGCATAGAAGGGTCCTGTAGAGAAGAGGGTCAGGATCTCTCGTCCATGGCTATAGACGGTGGGGGTGGGGGTTTGCAGTTTCCAAGATTTTGCTGAATTATTAGGAAAAACATATGGAAGAAGAGATTTGTCTACTGAATCTCTGAATTTGCTATATTGGGAAGTTTTTAAGAGCAGGCTGGGCGGCTGAATCTCATGATCAGTTTCATCCTTTTCCCTGCCTTCCAGAGGATTGGACAAGATGATCTTCAGGGTCCCTCCAACCCACATCGCAATGATTTGGTGAATGGTTGGCATGGCATGTGAAGACACCCACAAGCTCTTTAGTCAACTTAGTTAAGCACAATGTGCAAAAACTACAGCTTGTCTGAGTACCCTAAGAAGTTACAATTCTCATCCATTTATTCCATTTAAATTGGAGTAAAAACAAAGGTCTTTTAATGTAAAGCAAAAGCATAAAGTTTAAAGACATCTCACAGTTTTTAAATCTTCAACAGAAGATTTAAAGCTGCACCCCGTTATAGCCAGGGTGGCGGTTGATACCCCGAGGCTTATGGTCATGGGGAATTTTAACCTGCCATCCGTCGGTGAAGCGTCTGAGGCAGCGCGGGAGTTCATGGCTTCCATGACGGCTATGGACCTGACCTAGTTAGTGCATGGCCCTACTCACACGGGGGGGAAACACTCTGGACTTGGTTTTTGTCTTTGGCCAGTGGTTGAATGATCTCGATATTGGGGATATAGTGACTGAACCCTTGTCATGGTCGAATCATTCCCTCCTTCGCCTTGACCTTCGAACCGCTACACCCCGCCGCAGGGAGGCAGAACCGATGAGGTGGTTCCGCCCCAGGCGCCTGATGGACCTGGATTGGTTCCAGACGGAGCTTGGGCCATTTCCTGAGGCTCTGGCTCACGGCTCGACCGAAGACCTGGTGGCCGCCTGGGATAGGGCGGCCGCTGGAGCTTTGGATCGGGTCGTGCCTTTGTGGCCTCTGACTCGGCACCAATCTCGTTTGGCTCCTTGGTTCACCGAGGAGCTGAGGGAGATGAAGCGCTGGAAAAGATGCCTGGAGAGCGGTTGGAGGGCCAGCCGGTCTGAATCTGACCGAACACTGGTAAGGTCTCATATTAAGACTTACCTTGTGTCGATAAAAGTGGCAAAATGTAACTATTTTTCCGCTCTTATTGCGTCACCAGATAACCGCCTGGCCGCCCTGTTTAGGGTGACCCGCTCCCTGCTCCTTCAGGAAGCGCGGGAGGACCCCTTGGAGGGTAGAGCCGAGGACTTTGTACAGTATCTGTATGACAAAATCGCTCAGATTCGGGAACATCTGGACTCTGACTGGGTAGATTCAGGGAGGAGGATGGAGGCAGGTCTTGAGAATATTATCTGGGAAGAGTTTGATTCTGTGACACCCGAAGACATGGACAGGATACTGAGTAGACTGAATGCTGCCACATGTTTATTGGACCCGTGTCCCTCCTGGTTGGTGCTGGCCTCTCGGGAGGTTACACGAGCCTGGCTCCAGGGGATTATAAATGCTTCTCTGAGTGAGGGTGTCTTTCCCGCTGCCTTGAAAGAGGCGGTGGTGAGACCTCTCCTCAAGAAGCCTTCCCTGGACCCGGCAGTGTTGGCTAATTACCATCCAGTCTCCAACCTTCACTTTCTTGCGAAGGTTGTTGAGAGTGTGGTAGCACGACAGCTCCTTCAGTATCTGGATGAATCGGCTTATCTGGATCCGTTCCAGTCGGGCTTCAGGCCTGGGTACAGCACGGAAACGGCATTGGTCGCATTGGTTGATGATCTCTGGAGGGCTCGGGACAGGGGTTGCTCCTCTGTCCTGGTCCTATTAGACCTCTCAGCGGCTTTTGATACCATTGACCATGGTATCATGCTGCACCGGCTGGAAGAGTTAGGGGTGGGGGGCACCATCCTGCGGTGGTTCTCCTCCTTTCTCTCCGACCGGTTGCAGTCTGTGTTGGCAGGGGGACAGAGGTCGACCCCGAGGCCCCTTGTATGTGGGGTGCCACAGGGGTCGGTCCTCTCACCCCTTCTGTTCAACATTTATGTGAAGCCGCTGGGTGCGATCATCCGTGGTTTCAGGGTGAAGTACCACCAGTACGCTGATGACACTCAGCTGTATATCTCCTCCCTGGACCACCCCAATGATGCCCTTGAAGTGATATCCCGATGCCTGGACGCTGTATGGATCTGGATGTGGAGAAACAAACTAAGGCTCAACCCATCCAAGACTGAGTGGCTGTGGTTTCCGACATCCCGATATAGTCAGTTGGTGTGCCATCACTGACTATTGGGGGAGAGTCATTGGCCTCCAAGGAGAGGGCTCGCAACTTGGGTGTCCTCCTGGACTCACAGCTGTCTTTAGAAGAGCACTTGACGGCTGTGGCCGGGAGGGCATTTTATCAGGTTCGCCTGATTCGCCAGTTGCATCCCTTTCTGGATCGGGACTTGTTAAATACGGTCACTCATGCCCTCTTCACTTCCCGCCTGGACTACTGCAATGCTCTCTACATGGGGATCCCCTTGAGGAGCACCCGGAGGCTCCAGCTGGTCCAGAATGCGGCTGCGCGGGTGGTTATGGGAGCGACGTGGCGCTCCCATGTGACCGCCCTCCGCGAGCTACAGTGGCTCCCGGTGGTCTTCCGGGTGCGCTTCAAGGTTTTGGTTACCACCTTTAGAGCGCTCCATGGCTTAGGACCGGGGTATCTATGAGACTGCCTTCTGGCACCAGTAGCCTCTCACCGACCAGTATGCTCCCATAGAGAGGGGCTTCTTAGGGTGCCGTCGGTCAAACAATGTCGACTGGCGGCCCCCAGGGGGAGAGCCTTCTCTGTGGGGGCACCCGCCATCTGGAACGAGCTCCCCCCCGGACATACGGAGTATCCCGGATCTGCGCGCTTGCCGCCGTGCCCTCAAAACATTTCTATTCCAGCAGGCCGGCCCGGCCTAACCTCTCTTTTAAATTGTTCTTAAAATTTTTAAAATTTTTAAATTTTAAATTTGTCTTATGAATTTGGGGTGTTTTAAATTCGTTTTCCGGGCCAATTATTTAATTGTATTTTAATGGTTTTTTAACATTTGTACTATATTTTATTTGGCTGTTCACCGCCCTGAGTCCTTCGGGAGTAGGGCGGTATACAAATTCAATAAATAATAATAAAATAATAATAATAACTTGATGGCAAAACAGCGGGATGAAGTGAGACCATAGCTGGGAGTCCACTTCCTGGACCAGAGGAGACAAAGCCATTTTGACAGACTCTCCTTCTGATGATGCTTCCTGAGAGATTTTGCGGACAGTGGGGTGGAATGGGGAGGGGGGAAGAGGGTTGGGCCTGAGCCAGTCTAGACTTTATCCCAGCATTCAGCCTAGAGATGAACCCGGAATGAAGGTGGCAAGGCTCCTCTCAGCTTCCCTGGTTGCCCGGCTCATCCTCTTTCGCCACCCCGTGGACCCGATTCTGCTTGACCTTCCTGGTCACCCAGCTGGTCTGGAAAGCAGGCGTGAAGTAACCCTGGAAGGAAAATCAGATTCCCGAGCCAGGACTTGGGAATCTGTGGCAGAGAGAACCGGCTGCTTGTTGATGGGACATCTCTTCTTCCACAGGGTATTTTGTGCAGGACTTCTTGGACATGATATGTAATCAGAAGCTTCAGAAATGTTGGGAGCTGCTCTTCCATCACTTTGTGGTGAGTTACTGTCTCTCATGCTAAGAAGATGTGGCTGTTCCAGGCAAGGGGTGAGTTGGGAGGAGCAGTCAATCTCTGAGGATGCAGGACGCATGTGGCCGGGTGAGCTGGCAGAGAGGCCTCTTCTGGCTTGGGCTGAGCCTCCCTCCTCCTGGGGGAGGAGACACTTTTGTCCTCTTCGCTGAACAAGGAGCATGGGACTCGGGGCACATGGCCATAGCAAGGGTGTCCCTGCAGGGGTCTCCAACCTCGCCTGGCCCTGACTGGGTCTGCTAGCCCAAACAGCTTTTGCTGTTTGCTGCCAGGCCCTTGCCTAGACCACGAGGTCCAACCAGTTTCAGCCCAAGTGACTGCTGCAGCTGTGCCCACCTGCTGTCCAGTGGTCATCTGACAGGGCAGGCTGGGATATAGCAAGGAGGAAGGAATCCCTGTCATTCTGCTATGGTTCATGTCGGTTTTATTACTTTGATTTATATGCCGCCCTTCTCCGGAGACTCAGGGTGGCTTACAATGCTTTTAAGGAATAGCCTTCATACTTTTGTATATACCTGCTTAGGAGGGCTTTCGGGCTCCCCCCCCAAGCGGTGTTCTATTTTATACAAAATCAGCTTATTGCCCCCACAAACCGGGTCCTCATTTTACCTACCTCGGAAGGATGGAAGGCTGAGTCAACCTTGAGCCTGGTGAGAATTGAACTTGCAGTAATTGCAGGCAGCTGGCAGCTAAATACTACTTTAACAGTAGTTTAGTCTACTGCACCACCAGGCTCTTCACCCCAAGGGTTGGGGTGCCAACCCTTGGCCTCAATGCAGGAGAGGGGACACGAAGGCAAAAGGAGCCAGTGTGCTTTTGAATACCAGCCTCAGTAGGGAGTTGCCATCTCTCTCCTGATCTCTGGATGGCCCACGTCAGAATTAAATTTAGCAGAGGCTGAGACTGGCTTCCAACCTAAACAGCTAAACTCCTTACAATCCGCCTTCAGCACATCTTGTGCTTAAGGCGGCGGGGGGGGGGGGGGGGGGGAGAAACATGCTTGTTCTGCAGAAGCTGTTCAAGGAGAGTCCAGTCCTCAGCAACGGATGCTTTGAACTGACTCCCGTCAATGGAGGGGTTTCCCTGCCCACTCCTGTAAGTAGCTGCCACTCTGGGGGCTAAGATGTGGGGATGCATAGGGAAACCTGTGCGTGCTTTCCATCAACCACAGAAAGTGAAGAGGGGTCATGGCCGAAGAGGAGGAGGGACGTGTGTTTGAGAGGCTTCAGCTGTTAAGGCTTAGAACTAATTTTTAAAACTCTGGCTGGCGGCGGGAGGGGGCGGGGCTGTAGGCATTGGCTGCAGCCTTATCTGTCCTGCCCTCTGCCACAGAGCCCGTTTTCTGAGGTCAGTGGGGGCAGAACAGAAGCCTCGGGGGTGGCCTGATCCAGGGATCAGGAGGTGGGTCAGGCCGTGATCTGCCCTGTAAGAACAGCTGGGGGGCAGGCGGTGGCAGCAGGAGATCCCGAGAGCTGCCAGTTGCTTTCAGCAGTGATGATCAGGAGCAGAAGGTTCCTATCCATTGCAACTGGATTCCTGCTGCTTCCGCCAGGGGGATCAATGGCAAGGATGCTCCTGGGGGAAGAGCCAGCTCAGCCTTGCTGTCTTCCAGGTGATCGTTTGCTTTGGCTTTGCCTTCCTGGTTCGTCGCTTTGTGGGTTTCGCGATGGTGGCTCTGCTGGTGGAGATCAACTCTGTCTTCCTACACCTGCGGACAATCCTGCGGATGGCCGGCTTGGCCAACACCACCTCCTTCCGCCTCGCCAGCCTCATCAACCTTGGCACCTATCTGGTGTTCCGTATCCTGATCTTGGCCTGGATGAGCCGCTGGCTGGCCCTTAACCAGGATAACGTCCCGGCAGTCCCCTATGCTATGGGCACAGTGGGCATGGCCATCATGCTGTCCATCAACATTGTCCTCTTCTACCGTTTGCTACGCAGCGACTTCCTCCCATCTCACAAGGAGTAGCAGCTCCCCGCCAAGCACCAGGGGATGGGAGAGCGAGCCAGAACAAGGCAGAGCGCCCAAGCAGGCAGGGGGAGGGGTTTCCCCAGCTTCTCAGGAGCCCCCCCTGCTGCCGAGCGATGCAGACGGGAGCAGGGCCAGCCTTTCCGGAGAGGCCTGTGGAACAGTGTCGTGGTGCTGTTTGGCGGGAAGGCTGGGAGCGATGACGACACAGCAAGGTGGGCTTCGCTTTGCCTTCCATGAGGGAGGGGGCTTATTGAAATGACTTCGCCCTGTGCATCTGTGTTCTGACGTTTACTTCTGGTACACTTTCCTGAGCAAGGTGAGCCTCCTGGGAACAGGTGCTCTTCGCCTCATCCCTTCCCTTCCACCCCTGCCCCGTGGCAATACCCGAGATGGTGCCAGACTGTGGAAGGGTGTGGCAGAGACTGTCTCACCTTCCCCTCCCTGATGCCCATGGCGGACTCTCTCTCTGGAGAATAGCACTTCTTAAGGAGTCTCCCTGGGAGTTGCTACCTTTCCGTTCGGGGTTTTGATTGCTAACACTCTATAGGTAAATTTCACCAGCGCTGGTACAAAAGGGACTGGAACAGACCCGGGCCTTGGGAATCATGGGAATGAAAAAAAAAGCAAGGACGGATCACAGCCTCTGGAGCTTTGCTGGAAGCATCACTGTCCAACTTCCCTCCCAAGAATTACAAGCAGGTCCTGCAGCCCTTCCTTCCCTTTGAGTCGAGGAAGGCAGCATCCAAGGCTACTCAGGCATATTTGCTGCTGTCAGCCTCTGTCCCTTCCGGCTTCCCCAATGGAGCCAAAGGCTAGATTCCCAGGCCCATCCCTGGAACTGCCACCCTGATGCCAACTGCCGGTGCCTTTCGCCCACTAAGGGCTGAGTAATTATCTCTAAACCTAGGATTACAAAGCAGTTATCTGATTTTTTTTTCTTTGTGTAACAAGATGTTAGAAGATGTGTGTGCACACAATAATAAAGACACTTTAGTGAATGCTAATTTTTTGGCCCTGCTTGTCAGGCAGACAGAGCCTCTGAGGTTGGCGGAGGGGAAGTCTTGGATCCTGAAAGGAAGGAGTCTTTTTTGGGGGGGGGGTATTTTTTTTTTTAAGACAAACAAACATTTAATACATCAATCCTCCCTTCCCTGTGGCATCTCGGTGTTATCTTCTAGGCTTCTTCTCCATCTTCCATAAGTTTCTTCTATCTTCATCTTCATCCAAACCATTCTAACATTTCATTACTACCGTATTTTCCGGCGTATAAGACGACTGGGCGTATAAGACGACCCCCAACTTTTCCTGTTAAAATATAGGGTTTGGGCTATACTCGCCATATAAGACTGCCCCTCTTCCAATGCACACCAAATAAAAATTAAAAAACATCAACTGGCTCACCTACAATGTAAAAGCAGCTGTGCTAGACCCAAAATGGCCCCTGTAACAAGCAGGAACCTCACATAGCCACAAAAAGCCCCTCCAAAAAACTTTCACACTCTAAACACACACAACACAACACAACTGGCTCACCCACAATGTAAAAGCAGCTGTGCTAGACCCAAAACGGCCCCTGCAACAAGCAGGAACCTCACACAGCCACAAAAAGCCCAAAAAAACCAACTTTCACACTTTACACACACAAAATTCCACATACAGCTTTGTGAGATTTTGTGTGTTTGTGTAGTTGGAGTGAAACACTACAGAAACACACTAAATCTCAGAAAGCTGCACAAATATTGTTTTATTTTATTTTTATTTTTATATGAAAGCTAAATTTAAAATTTCCTAAACTTTAAATGGCTAGGTCTAAAAAAGAACAACTAAAAAAACCCCAATTGACTTTTTTTTTTAAAGCTCCCAAAGGGGAAAAAAACTTACCCAATAGAACAGGGGTCTCCAACCTTGGCAACTTTAAGACTTGTAGACTTCAACTCCCAGAATTCCTCAGCCAGCTTTGCTTTGCTGGCTGAGGAATTCTGGGAGTTGAAGTCCACAACTAACTCCTTGCTTGATTCCAGGCAGGGAGTTGCTTGCTTGCCTGAATAGATTCAGGCAAGCAAAGCAAGGCAAGCGTTGCGACTAGCAGCTGAGGTAAGCAAGCTGGAGGGGGAAAACTTTTTCCCTTTTACATGGTTCTGGCGATTCCAGCTGAGTTGCAGGGAACTCAGCTGGGATCGTCAGAGCTGGGATCGCTGGGATCCTCAGAGTAAAAGGTAAAAAACTTTTTTTCTTTTATGTGGTTTCTGGCGATCCCAGCTGAGTTGCAGGGAACTCAGCTGGGATCGTCAGAGCTGGGATCGCCAGAGCCATTTAAGGCTCGTCAGAGCCTTTCGGGCTGGTCTGCCTGGTTACAGGAGAACGACACCTGGCGTATAAGACGACCCCCGACTTTTGAGAAGATTTTCATGTGTTAAAAAGTCGTCTTATACGCCGGAAAATACGGTAAATCAATATTGTAATCATCATATATACATAATTATGGTATCAGTCATTTATAACTCTTTTCCAACCAACTATAAAAATAATTCCATGTTTTAAAATATTCTGATTCTTGAGCTTGTTTGGAGGTTCTAGCAGGGGAGATTTGGTAGAATGGGGGAAATTAAAATTGTCATTGCTGGGAAGAATTGCAGCAATAAAATCAGATATACTGCCAAGACTCCTTTATTTATTCCAAACAATTCCAATAAAATTAGATAAGAAATTCTTTATTAATTTGGATAAAATAACTACCAATTTTGTGTGGGAGGGAAAAAAATCAAGAATTAAATTAAGTATATTACAAGATGAAAAAATTAGAGGTGGGTTCGTACTTCCAGCATGGGAGAAATATTATAAAGCTTCAAGTTTAAAATGGATTAGAGAATGTAACATTGGGAAATCAAAGATTATTACAATTAGAAGGCCACGATTTAATGAAGGGATGGCATGCTTTTCTGTGGAGCCCTAGAAATAAAATATATAGACGTTTCAATAATCATGTAATTAGGAAATCATTAATTAGTACATGGCAGGAAACCAAAAGTAAACATTATATGAAAATACCTGGTTGGCTATCAACAATAGAAGCAATAACATACCCCAACACACTATCCAAACAAAAATCGTTAAGATATAGAGAGATACTAGACACACAAGGAATATTGAAAACAAGAGAGGAATTAAAAGAGCAAGGAATATTAATAGACTGGTGGCCCTACTCACAAATTAAGACAAGATATAGGAAAGACCAGGAGGAGGGAAGAATAGACCCAAAACCAAATTGATTAGACAAATTATTAGAAATAAAAGAAGAAAAATCAATTTCAAAAATTTACAAATACCTACTAGAATTCGATTTGGCAGAAGAATTGGTTAAAAGACAGATGATAGCTTGGGGAAGGAACATTGGGCACAGTATACAGCTAGAAGAATGGGAAAGGGCATGGGAAAACAATTACAGTATGACAAAATCAGTAGCATATAAGGAGAATGATTATAAATTGTGGTACAGATGGTATCTAGCTCCTTCGAGGTTAGCGAAAATGTACCTGAATGTAAATTCGGCTTGTTGGAAATGTAAGCAAGCTCAGGGTACTTTCATGGTGGCTTTGCCCAGAAATCAAGAAATATTGGAGGAAAATAAAAACATGGATAGTAGAAATAACAGATCAAGAAATTGAATTAGAACCAGAAATCTTTTTATTAGGCATGATCAAAAGGAACATTAGACAGGACATAAACTACTTAACACTACACATAATTATGGCGGGAAGATTGGTACTAGCACAATTATGGAAAACAGATCGTCTGCCAATAGACCAGGAGATAATTCAAAAAATTTACGCATGTGGAGAAATGGATAAATTAACTTTAAAATTAAAGGACAAGGAAGACTCAAAATATTTTGAAGTATGGAATAGATGGTATAACTGGGTAAATCAAAAGAAAAAAGGGTAAAGACTAAATTTAGGAAAAATTAAAGGTAACAAGCACTGTAAGGTAGATAGAATAAGGAATAAATCACTGTTTATATATGTATGTATATATGTACACACAGGTACATATATTTAGCTTGTTGGTGGAGTTGTGTATTGTATATGCAATTTTACGATTGAGAAAAATGTGTATAATTTTGTATTTTAAACTTTTTAAATTCAATAGTTTGTTTTTTAAAATAAAAAAAAATATTCCGATTCTTCCTTATCTTTAATCATCAGAGTTAATCTATTCATTTCTGCACAATCTAAATTTTTTTTATTACTTCTTCTTCGAAAGGTATTTTCTCTGATTGCCAATTTTGAGCATACACAATTCTTGCAGCTGTTATTACATGTATAATCAAATATACATTTTTCTTACTAATTTTTTCTGGAAAGATACCCAGTAGGAACAATTCTGGGGGGGGTTTTTTGTTTTTTTTTAAAATTTGATTTATATGCCACCCTTCTCCGGAGACTCAGGGCGGCTTACAATGCGTTAAGCAATAGCCTTCATACTTTTGTATATTTATACAAAGTCAGCTTATTGTCCCCACAAACAGGGTCCTCATTTAACCTACCTTAGAAAGGATGGAAGACTGAGTCAACCTTGAGCCTGGCGAGATTTGAACTTACAGTAATTGCAGACAGCTGGTGTTAATCACAATGCTTTTAGTCTGCTGAGCTACCAGGCCCGTTTAAATTCAACAGGTTGCTGTATCATTTCTTCCAGCCAGATTTTAATCTTGTACCAGTAATTTTTGCTTTCGGGACAAGTCCACCACACCACCACGCTCTCTACATGGGGCTCCCCTTGAGGAGCACTCGGAGGCTCCAACTGGTGCAGAATGCGGCCGCGTGGGTACTTATGGGGGCGACATGGCGCTCCCACGTGACACCTCTCCTGTGCGAGCTGCATTGGCTTCCAGAGGTCTTCTGGGTGCTCTTCAAGGTGTTGGTTCTCATCTTCAAAGCGCTCCATGGCTTAGGGCCCGGTTATTTACGAGACCACCTTCTGCCACCGATACCCTCCCACCGGCCAATACGCTCCCCCAGAGAGGGCCTCCTCAGGGTGCTGTCGGTCAGGCAATGTCGGTTGGCGCCCCCCCTCCCCTCCCTTCCCCCGGGGAAGAGCCTTCTCTGCGGGGGCACCCGCCCTCTGGAACGAGCTACCCCCCAGGGATACGACCGATCCCGGGCCTCCCCACCTTCCGCGGCGCCCTGAAGACTTTTCTATTTCAGCAAGCCGGGCTGGGTTAAAAACCTATTAATTTGGGGGATTTTATGGCTGAGGGGTTTATAAATTGGATTTGGTCAATTGGTTGCGGTCCACCCACTTGGCCTGGCTGAAATCTTAAGCTTGCCACGTCCTCCGCGTTGGGCTGCTCCGCTAACTGGGTCCCTTCGGCAAAGGACGAAGCCAGGTCGGCTGGGCTGCTCTCTCCTGAGGAAACTCCTGCGGCTTCTAGTGCCTCGCGGGGCGGAGTCGGTGCTCGATCGCCGCTCGTGGGCCTCCCAAGGGAGCCCGGATCTGTTCGGAGCGGCGGGCGGCAATGAGGGCGGCGGGCCGCCCCGAGGGCCCGGACGGTCCGGTGCGAGGAGTCCCGCCCGAAAGGGGGGCACGCGAGATGGGGGTGTGTGGGGCTAACGGATCCACGGACCAATTGCCCCCGCCATGCTACCCCCGCAGTCGTCACCGGAAGCGCTCCGATCGTTTCCGAGGCGAACGGAGAAAAACCGTCCTTCGGAGCCGGCGCTGATTGGTCAGAGGCAGTCATGGACCCGCCTTCACATCTGGTTCCGGAGGCCTGCGCACGCGCACTCTCGGCGGGGAGCGTGCAAAGCGGTGCTCGTCGCCGCCGCCGCCATTAGCGGAGTTTGTTGCGGAGGAGCGAGGGGAGTCTCTGGTCGGAACCGGCGGGGCCCGGAGCCCTCGCGAAGGGAAGGCAGGTGCGGGGCTCCCCTTCCCTTCCCTTCCCAGGTCCCTTCCTTCGACGCCCGTCCGGGCCGCAGCTGATTTCTGGGCTGATCTGCGTCCCGCC